CTCTTTGATTTTTGATTTGATATTATAATTAGACTTGTTGGAGTGTCCCAGATGCGCAGCTAACCCTTTATTTAATTTGATTGATCAAATGATAGACACAAGATTTTTATTTGATTACTGCTAAACGCACAGTGTTGTAGACTTTAAACGCAAAACATCCATTGTCTTTTTCAATGTAAAGGTTCAGCTAATTGAATTTTCAAGTCATTGCAGTTTTGCTGTGATTCTTTAAAGGTACAACAACAGTTAAAGGAAGAGGAGGAAGACATTATGGTAAACATGGTGTAGCTTGAAAAAAAAAAATTAAAAGAAAGAGGTGTACTGATTATCACCCATATCGACCTAAATTAAACGAGGCAAGGCTACCACTGACCCAGTAATTTTATTGTCTCTAATTATATATCAAGATGGTCATGTTTTATCAAGAAAATAATTGCAGGACCAAAATGCTGCAAATAATTGTTATATCTATTGAACTTGAAGCATTCTCATCTAGTTTGATGTTTAGTGCAAATGACCCTACAAAGTTAGGCTCAAAGTCTGAAAATGTTAGGTGAGTGTGGTTTTTTTGTGTAGGGCAATTTAGGTTTTACAAGAGCATGCTGGGGTTGTCCCTCCAAAGTGTAAATTACAAGTCCAACAATCCCAATTTGAGGAGATCTTGAAATGTACTCATCATGTGAAGATTTTGCAAGTAATGGTATCAAAATTATGAAGAAAATATAATTAAATCTCGATCATTTTTCTATGCGTGTAATAAACCTACCAGCATGTGGGAATATAATGAGTGGTTCAATACATAAGCTTATATATATATATATATATATATATCAAACAGCATAATCGAATTTGGGGGGCCAAAAGAGATGGAGAATCCGACACAATAATCCTACTTTTTGAGGTTTGGCAAAGTTGTTATAGTCATTATAGCAACCAAATTTTGCATTATTTAGTACTTTCAGAAGAGCAAAAAAACTCGAGTATGAGAGTGCTATGGCAGTTGTTTTCTCTTTTGCCCCCCCTCAAATGTCATGATGCCAAGGACTACTTCTTCGCTTGTTGACTCCGCAACAAAGGAAAGAGATAGATCTATGGCGATATAATCGACCCCACTTCTTTTCGTATCGGTTTTTTTTTTCACTGAAGTTATAATTCTCATGTAGACATTATTAGGGAGGCTGTGTTTTGCTGATATAATTAATTTCTCATAACACATAATTACAGTACTAATAGCTAGCACATGCCTGCATGAAAAAGTAGAATCCAAAGCTTTATAATTAATCAAGTAAACCCATATGAAATATTTACTCTCAATTTGCAAAAGATTGCCCAATCCTATCAAACCTGCTTTCATTTTGTTGTTAGACCTGAAACATTCACTAATTACATTAAAAATATAATTGCTTTGCTATAACCACCATTTGCTTCCTTAAAAGATCTGAAATTTCTCTTAATGCAGTGGTTAACCATATATCCGCTTAAACACCAGACCCATTTTTGTGACAGTGTTGCTGGTAAACCCTACCAAACTTGATTCCTTGGTCGGTGATTTACTGTAAAAAAATTTTACCGGAAACATAATTATTGCAACTAAGTATCATGTGTTTATGTCGAAAAATTGGATATTCAAATCAAGTTTTGATGATGTTGGAGAAGCTATTTTTGTGATTTTTGAACTCTAATGGGTTGGCTTGACAGTCAATAAGGTTTGCTCTCTTCATTAATTTCCTTGTTTCGAACCTTGGGGTCACTTATCACATTTGTGACTTATCTTAGAACATTGGGTTTGTAGGGTATTTAATAGACTCCGAGAATTAATCGAATTGTGCACAAACTTGTCCAAACACCTCAGTTATTAAAAAAAAAAAAAAAAAAAGAAATTGTGATTTTTGTGGTTAAGGAATTGAGGACAAGTTGATAGATAAAGACATAAGAGTCCGTGGTAGTGGGGCTCAACTTTATCTACTTCAAAGTTAATGCAAATGGGAGTTATGATTTTGGCTAAAGAATGAAGATAAGAACTAAGTTGTGGAATCCAGATTGAGATTTTCACTTCCTCTTACCAAACAATGTACGGCTGCAAGAGACAATATTTTAAATTGAAAAGATATACAGTTTAATCTTTTTCTATTAAATTTAAATTTAAGATTTTTTTTTTTTTACATGTGTTTGGACCCAAAAATTGCCCAGATTAAATTTATGGGCCCTGGGATTCATTCACTGACAACAATTACAGGAGTCTCTTTTGGGCCAATTGCGGGCTCCAACAGCCCATCAATTCCCACGCCATGTCGCTGAAGAAAAACGCAAGCATTTCTCCATGTTCTTCTTTTTAGGTTAATCTTTTAGAGTTGAGATATTAATGAAGGGTAATTAGGTAATACTCTACTTACAATCCAATTTCACAAACTCTCTCTTATAATCCCTACATGACGGTTCCCATTCTTTTGCTGACGAATTTTCAGCTCCTAGTTTTGAGAAATTCATCAACAAATTTGGGAGCTGAAAAATCATCAGTAAAAAACTGAGAGCTACCATCTAGGGGTTGTGAGAGAGCAGGGCGGACCCAGGCCCCTTGAGGGTAGGCCCAGGCCTGCCCTCAACTTTAAAAAAAAAATTGAAAAGTTTTTTTAAAGGAAAAAAAAAAAAAAAAAAAAAAGTTAAAAATTAAAAAATTAAAAAGTTAGGTTTTGTCTCTTTTATATTCAAGTTTTTCTTTCCCAATTCCCAACTTACCTTTTACATGCGGATCTGATTTGGAGTGATTGTAATCTATATTTTCGTAAACTTTTGTGTATTTTACTTTTGTTAGAGTTGTGATTGAGCTCTAAATTTGTGTAGAATATTTTTGGTGGATTTGTGGTTGTTGTAACTGATAATCCTATTTTTCTTATGATTTTGTATTGAATTTCAATAGGATTTAGGATACTTCTTATACAATTTGGGTCATAATTGCTACCTAATTCTATTAATTTGTTTTTGCAAGCCTAAACTATGATTTTGAGAATAAATGATAGTTTTGACCGTAAATTACGTAACTTGAGTTTGGAAACTCATAATGACATGATTTTATAAGCTTTGGAAAGCTAAGAAGCAGAGCTACAACTTTCATGTTTTGGGTTTTTCCTAATTCTGACTGGACAACGGTGAAAACTTGGCTTGAAATCATGAACAGTATGTTAGAAACTGAAGAAAAATGTCTTTGGATATACTTTAGTATTTCTGCCGTAACTTGCGCTGTAGACCTCAGATTGTGCTGATTCTTGAACGAGTAGAAAGATAATTTAAAGGGCTACAATTCATATGTTTAACACTTTTCCATATTCAGACTCTTTCATGCTCAAATTTGGCTCGAAAGATTCTTGCCGCGGCGAAACTGCATCAGATGTGAAAAATAAAACGACGTGTTTTGGCTTGTTAGGGCTTGGTCCTTAAGTGAAAGAGGTATAAATTAGCACAAAAATGAAAGAAAAGGGGTTTTGGTTTGTCATTTGGAAGGCAGCTTTTAGAATGAGAAGATTATTGAAGGTTTGGGCTTCAAATTAAAGAAGATTTCTCAATCTTTTGCTTGTTTTTTAATGATGAATCTTGATTCAGTTTGTTTTTGTTATTTTGTTTTGTTTTTGAGTATGAACTGAGTTGTTTAGCTAGGGTTTGATGTAACCTTGATACAATGATTCAAATTTATATGAATTGATTTACTTTGAGTTTTAATTTCATGATTGAGTGTTTATCTCTTTGCTTAATGACTTTTGGATGTTTGATCACCATTTAAATGTGTGTTGTTCACAATGAGACTGAGAAGTGATTTGTGATTGTGCCTCTTGGGATAAACACTGTAGATTAAGCAAAAGCTAGAGATAGGTTTAGCGATTTATGAAATCTAGATAGAATTCCATAAAGCTTAAAAGACTTTGAACTATTAATCTTCATTTTGTTGGGTGCATAAGCTTAATTATGATAAGTAGGAAAATATAACCTGAGAAAGTATGTTTTACAACTTAAGGAATTCCATTTTCAATCAAAGAATTAGAACTTGGGTAATAGATTCTATGATTTGGGTTAGCGTATCTAGGTGAAATCAACACCCTAGCATTTTGTTTAATTAATTAAGTTGTTGGGTTTTGCTTCAATTAGGACTTAAACTAGAGAAATCAGTACTTAGTAATACTATCCTTGTGGGAACGATACTCAAATTATCACTTTATTACTTTTTGCGACTAATGCAGTTGCTACATTTGCATGTTTGTAAAAAATACGCATCAGTAAACTCTTTTGATTATATTAGATTTAAGTGGATCATTAGATTCCGATAGTTTTTTTTATCTCTTCACATTGAAGAGGTTTTTCTACGTAACAATTTTCTGGTGTTTCCTTGTGAATTGGATGTTATTTTCTTATGTTTTTATTAGTTGATTGGCAAAGAGTGGCAGAGCAAGGAGCCCCCCCTGAGCAAAAATCCTGGGTCTGCCACTGTGAGAGAGAGTTTGTAAAATTAGGTTATGAGCTAATTTTTATTGATTAATGAAAGTAATGCTCATTAAAAAATAATCTTAGATGTACAACTTTATACAAAAAATTTCATACAAATTGACGTGGCATAATGTAAATAGATGAATGAATACTCAACTCTAAGATAATTTGAATTGTAATGTGATGAGAAAATATAAATGGAAGATAAAAGTTATCTTATTTCAAAATTTTAAAGGAAAATTTCGCCTCAATGGACGTGATAAATGGTTCAACACTCTCGTAGCAATTACTATAGTATTGTTGACACGTCATTGACTGTATTTCTGTACACTAGAATCACAGAAGCTACGGATTTTTTTGATGCACGAGGGACACGAACTTACAATCTGAACCACCAACTGGAGATATATCCAAGTAAGCAGAAGAATAAGAGGTGGAGATGCACGATATCAGATTCTTCATGCCACATGGCATTGCATTAGCCAATTAGACATCCACTCTTCTATCCTTGGAGATAAGGCCCTTCATACATTAACACATTTGTATCTCTTCACTTCCATACCCCAAAGTCAATTATTTTCACATACAACTTGAAGAGAAACTTTCGGCTAATAGCCTGAAATAATGGCTTCTGTGTGTGCATCTTCTGCTATTGCAGCTGTTGCTATCTCCTCTCCCAGGCAAGTTCTCTCTTAACAACCATGTTAACCAACTTTTGAATGTCTTGAACTATCAGTTACTTGTTAATCACATATATATGATCACGTTTTATAATGTTTTATCAGTTAGAAACCTTATTTGATCATAGTACCAGATGGGATTTTCTTAGAGAAATAGAGAGAAGTTGACTATAGATTGCGTTTAGAGGAGACAATGCAAACTATTTTGATGAGTCAAATGAACTATGTAAGTTTATATTATATATATCTATTGCATGCAGTTCCCAGAAGAGTGGATCTATTGTAGGATCCACAAAGGCTTCTTTCCTTGGTGGGAAGAAACTGAAATTGAGAAAGTATGTAGCACCAGCTGGAACACGATCGGTTTCAGTGAGTGCAGCCGTAGCTGACCCTGATAGACCTATCTGGTTCCCAGGCAGCACCCCTCCACCATGGCTTGATGGCAGGTTCACTACTGACTCTATTCTTTTTCTATATATTTTACTTTCATTCGTGTGTAAATTATTTAAATCAAAAGCTTCAAAGAATTTTTATTCAAGTCCTGTTTTGCATGCAGCCTTCCCGGAGACTTTGGTTTCGATCCTCTTGGTCTTGGTAAGATATAAACCTGATATAGATTAATTTAATTGTGAGAGTATGAAAATAGAAATAATAATGTTGTTTCTGGTATTTAATTAACAGGATCTGATCCTGAGACCCTGAGATGGAACGTGCAATCAGAACTTGTACACTGCAGATGGGCCATGTTGGGAGCAGCTGGTATTTTCATCCCAGAATTCTTAACGAAGATTGGAATCTTAAATACTCCTTCATGGTACAGTGCTGGAGAACTTGAATACTTCACTGATACCACTACCCTCTTCATTGTTGAGATGATATTCATCGGGTGGGCCGAGGGGAGACGGTGGGCTGACATTCTGAAGCCAGGATGTGTTAACACTGACCCAATTTTCCCCAACAACAAGCTCACTGGAACTGATGTTGGTTACCCAGGTGGGCTTTGGTTTGACCCTCTTGGATGGGGTAGCGGTTCTCCTGAGAAAGTTAAGGAGTTGAGGACTAAAGAGATCAAGAATGGAAGGTTGGCCATGTTGGCTGTGATGGGTGCGTGGTTTCAACACATTTACACTGGCACTGGCCCGATTGACAACCTCTTTGCCCACCTTGCTGATCCTGGTCACGCCACCATTTTTGCTGTAAGTGCAGCCTCACCATATATATTTGAATTCTGATCTTTTATAAATCAGTTTCTTGTTCTGACTAGTGATTGTTGTATTTAAATTTGTTTCAGGCGTTCACCCCCAAGTGAGACAACTACCTTTATAAGTGTGGGAGATAAAATTTCACTTCACATAAGGGGTTGAAAAGATCATGTAATTTTTCTTATTGAAGTTCCATGGTATCATTAGAACTTGTATTAATTGCCTGTGTGTTTATGCGTTCTATAGAATGCTCCTGCGATGTACAAATACCTCTGTGAACCTAGATGCCGTGAATATAAATTCAGTTGGAAACCAAAATTGTCTGTAGAAGCACCATTAATTCTCTGCAAATCTACCAATTGCCCAGATTAAATTTATGGGCCCTGGGATTCATTCACTGACTACAATTACAGGAGTCTCTTTTGGGCCAATTGCGGGCTCCAACAGCCCATCAATTCCCACGCCATGTCGCTGAAGAAAAACGCAAGCATTTCTCCATGTCCTTCTTTTTAGGTTAATCTTTTAGAGTTGAGATATTAATGAAGGGTAATTAGGTAATATTCCACTTATAATCCAATCTCACGAACTCTCTCTCATAATCCCTACATGACAGTTCCCATTCTTTTGTTGACGAATTCTCAACTCCCAGTTTTTGGAAATTCATCGACAAATCTGGGAGCTAAAATCATCAGTAAAAAACTGGAGCTACTATCTAGGGGTTGTGAGAGAAAATTTGTAAAATTAGGTTGTGAGCGAATCTTTATTGATTAATGAAAGTAATGCTCACTAAAAAATAATCTTAGATGTACAAGTTTTTACAAAAAAATTTCATACAAATTGATGTGGCATAATGTAAATGGATGACTGAATAGTCAACTCTAAGATAATTTGAATTGTAATGTGATGAGAAAATATAAATGGAAGAGAAAAGTTATCTTATTTCCAAATTTTAAAGGAAAATTTCGTCTCAATAGACGTGATAAATAGTTCAACATTCTTGTATCAATTACTATAGTGTTGTTCAGTGTTTTGAAAACCGGATCGGACCGTCCGGTAGAATCGGTTCGACCAAGAGCCGACGATATCTTCTGTTTGGTATCTTCTAAAAACCGGTATTTTTAATTAAACCGGATTGAGCCGCGATTGGACCGTCGGAATAGTGTCGAGTCGATGTCCAATTGCAACTCAATCCCGTCGGATTCCAGTATCATTCGAGGGAGAAAACACTACCATTCAACTTGACGGCATCTCCATGACAAAAAACCCATCCATTTTCAGTGGCCGTCGTCCATCCTTCGTCGCTCGCCGTCTACCTAAAGTTCACGCGACCGTCAGACTTTCTTCTTGATTCCGGCAATTTTTGGCGCCGATGGAACTCCCTAACACCACCATCAGATTTGTCGGAACCTATACATCAAAAGCCCCATGATTCCAAACTTTGATTGGCTGTCGATCGTTGCTGCCGCCACCACTCACCAGTCTCTTCGCGTGATAAGGGGTGTTTTAGACAGATTTCAAACCTTAAGGGAGTATTATAGGGGTGTTTTTGATGAATTTCAAATATTTAGGGATTAACAATAATTTTACAGGATACAGTCCAACCGGAAACCGGACCCTTGAACGGGTCATAGTCCGGTCCAGTTTTGGAATATTGGTATTGTTGACACGTCATTCAGAATATAGTATTGTTTTGGTCTCTGTTTTTCTGTACACTAGAGTCACAGGACCTACGGATTTTTTTGATGCATGAGGGACACGAACTTACAATCTGAACCACCAACTGGAGATATATCCAATAGGAGGTGGAGATGCACGATATCAGATTCTTCATGCCACATGGCATTGCATTAGCCAATTAGACATCCACTCTTTTATCCTTGGAGATAAGGCCCTTCATACATCAACACATTTGTATCTCTTCACTTCCATACCCCAAAGTCAATTATTTGCACATAAAACTTGAAGAGAAACTTTTGGCTAATAGCCTGAAATAATGGCTTCTGTGTGTGCATCTTCTGCTATTGCAGCTGTTGCTATCTCCTCTCCCAGGCAAGTTCTCTCTTTACAACCATATTAACCAACTTTTGAATGTCTTGAACTATCAGTTACTTGTTAATCACTTATATATGATCACGTTTTATAATGTTTTATCAGTTAGAAACCTTATTCGATCATAGTACCAGATGGGATTTTCTTAGAGAAATAGAGAGAAGTTGACCATAGATTGCGTTTAGAGGAGACAATGCAAACTATTTTGATGAGTCAAATGAACTATGTAAGTTTATATTATATATATCTATTGCATGCAGTTCCCAGAAGAGTGGATCTATTGTAGGATCCACAAAGGCTTCTTTCCTTGGTGGGAAGAAACTGAAATTGAGAAAGTATGTAGCACCAGCTGGAACACGATCGGTTTCAGTGAGTGCAGCCGTAGCTGACCCTGATAGACCTATCTGGTTCCCAGGCAGCACCCCTCCACCATGGCTTGATGGCAGGTTCACTACTGACTCTATTCTTTTTCTATATATTTTACTTTCATTCGTGTGTAAATTATTTAAATCAAAAGCTTCAAAGAATTTTTATTCAAGTCCTGTTTTGCATGCAGCCTTCCCGGAGACTTTGGTTTCGATCCTCTTGGTCTTGGTAAGATATAAACCTGATATAGATTAATTTAATTGTGAGAGTATGAAAATAGAAATAATAATGTTGTTTCTGGTATTTAATTAACAGGATCTGATCCTGAGACCCTGAGATGGAACGTGCAATCAGAACTTGTACACTGCAGATGGGCCATGTTGGGAGCAGCTGGTATTTTCATCCCAGAATTCTTAACGAAGATTGGAATCTTAAATACTCCTTCATGGTACAGTGCTGGAGAACTTGAATACTTCACTGATACCACTACCCTCTTCATTGTTGAGATGATATTCATCGGGTGGGCCGAGGGGAGACGGTGGGCTGACATTCTGAAGCCAGGATGTGTTAACACTGACCCAATTTTCCCCAACAACAAGCTCACTGGAACTGATGTTGGTTACCCAGGTGGGCTTTGGTTTGACCCTCTTGGATGGGGTAGCGGTTCTCCTGAGAAAGTTAAGGAGTTGAGGACTAAAGAGATCAAGAATGGAAGGTTGGCCATGTTGGCTGTGATGGGTGCGTGGTTTCAACACATTTACACTGGCACTGGCCCGATTGACAACCTCTTTGCCCACCTTGCTGATCCTGGTCACGCCACCATTTTTGCTGTAAGTGCAGCCTCACCATATATATTTGAATTCTGATCTTTTATAAATCAGTTTCTTGTTCTGACTAGTGATTGTTGTATTTAAATTTGTTTCAGGCGTTCACCCCCAAGTGAGACAACTACCTTTATAAGTGTGGGAGATAAAATTTCACTTCACATAAGGGGTTGAAAAGATCATGTAATTTTTCTTATTGAAGTTCCATGGTATCATTAGAACTTGTATTAATTGCCTGTGTGTTTATGCGTTCTATAGAATGCTCCTGCGATGTACAAATACCTCTGTGAACCTAGATGCCGTGAATATAAATTCAGTTGGAAACCAAAATTGTCTGTAGAAGCACCATTAATTCTCTGCAAATCTACCAAGACTAACAAATTCTGTCCGAACCAAAAAAAAAAAAAAAAAAAAAAAAATCATTTCAAACTTTACAGAATCACTCAAGAATCAAGACTAATAATTTTTTTTTTTAAAAAACTATCTCTAGATGGTCGAGTTGTTCGACATGGATTATTGGATGTATTACTTAAAAGGTCTTGAGTTAAAGTTCCTTCTCGATTGTTAAGTTGGTCGGAACACCCCTGGTTATAAAAAATAAATAATAATCTTTTTAAACAATTGGCTGACTTATGTGAAAAGAGTTTTGTTGAGTAAAAAGGTTGAATTTTACTACTAAAAACATAACAAAATTTATAGTTGAATTGTAAGAGCCAGCCCACCAAACAGGTCGGCATGAGGGTGCTGAGCTGCAGCCGCTACAGAGTTTGAAAACGGTAAGACTTGTGAGGTGGCTTTTGGGGGTTTAATTATGCAGAATTTTCGCAAGAAAGCTAGTTTTTGGCAAAATGGTTTCATCACTACGACAACTTTGTTTTGTTTATTGAAGCCAAGTCAATATGATACACTTGAGCTTTACTTTATAGTAAATGAACAAAATCAAATCCTATATTATTGGATTGAAGGCTACTTTCTCATAATATTTAAAGGCACGAGAAGCTTCGAGTATCTCTGGCCATGATCCCAACTGGACTACAGCTATAAAAAGGAGTAAAGAGGGAGTTTAAGTATATTTTATGGGCTAATTGCACACCAGCTAACCTGCATAATACATGGATGGATTGCACAAAATATAAAAATTCACTCAACTCAAGTATGTCCAAGAGGGCACAACCCCTCCCCCACCCAAAAAAAAAAAAAAAAAAAAAAGGTTAGATTCAAATAGACATAATTAAATTGTTAGATTTTTAATGTAAATGGTATAGGTTACGAGATATCATTGGGTGGTGTTGGTTTAGTATTTTAGATAGGATTTTAGGGATAGTATTGGGTTATTGGATATGGGAGATTACGAGGTAAATTTTAAAAATTTATAAAAAAGCCCTTAGGTTTAATTTACATAAAGACCCTAACATGTAAAATGACAAAAACACCCCCCCATCTGCAGTGTCAGATTCCGGCCACCACCGCCGGAATCTGGCCGGAAAATTTCGTTACGGCACAGACTTGTCGGATCTGTGCCGTAACACGTCGTTATGGCCTTTTCCGGCTAGATCCATGGTGGATCTGGCCGGAAAAGGCCAGATCTACCGTTTGTTTTGGCCGTCGACGGCCGGAAAATGCCAAACGACGGCCATCTTTGGCCGTCAGCGACGGCCAAAGATGTGGCCGTCGTTTTCGGTCAACGACGGCCAAGATTTGGCCGTCGTTGACCGTCAACGACGGCCATTTCTTTGGCCGTCGCTGACGGCCAATCTGGCCTTTTCCGGCCAGATCCGTGGTGGATCTGGCCGGAAAAGGCCACAGCGGTGAACTTCCGGCCATTTCTGGTCGGAAGTTTGGCCGTTGTACAGATTCCGGCTATCACCGACGGTGGTGGCCGGAATCTGACAAGTTGGGTTGATGGGGGTGTTTTTGTTAATTTTTAACTTTTTTTTTAGGGGGTATTTAGTGAAATTAATAACTTATGGGGTTAAAATGTAATAAAAAAAATGGGTAATATTTTGAGAATATTGTACCAAACGCTATTTGAAAAATAGGATCCGAAATAGGGATAAAAATATTACACCAAACGCAGCCATTATTATTATTTTTTATAAAAAGCAACAGTTAAGTGAGAAGATTTCATATTTTTTATATGTTTTGACAAAATTTTCATCCTTTACATTAATGGTTTTAACCGTTTTTTTTTTTTTTTTTTATGATTGAGTATTCGCGCCAACTTTCGTGCGTTTATTAATCCTTTAAGACTCTGAAATTACCGTTGGATAAGAGCTGCAATGCCACTGTTATTAAGAGTCGTGGAGACTTAAATCAAAAAATCATGTTAGATTCCCGTCTACTCTTTATCATTAAAGAAACTCGAACATTGAGAGATCATGTTAGATCTTCTTTCTTATCTAGATTTTCCTAGTTAGAACCACCATGTTAAATCGGTATTTAAACTTCATATATTAATGTATTGGAATAGTTAAAATTACATTTAAGTTGTGATACTGTAACGTACATTAATTCTATAAATTGCATTGAATTTAAATCATTAGAAGTGGCTTAATCTCATGGCTAGTCATTCCTTCACCACCCAAAACAAAAAAACGCCATTCCATCATTCAGAATACGAACTCTATAAAGGTTGAAGTTTCCAGTATCTTAATGAAGGATTTCACAATTACATTTCTCACATTTCTAATGGCTTCAAAATCAGTGCAATATTGTATTATACAGAATGCCAGCAAATTTCAGTCATAATTCATAGGGAAATGGATGAAGTAAACAAAATGTAAAGTACCAAACACAAATAAATTTATAAGACTTGTCTCATTATATACGAGGAGTAAAGTAAAAGTAATGTAATGTAATGTCATTACAAACTGCAATCTAATAATCTCCCATCCCTCTTTTAAAAGTATGAATACCAACTTATATTACTTACATATCATACTCCAATTTCCAGTAACAACAAAATTATGAAAATATAAACCAGAGTTTGGGACTAAAAATTAACCATACCAGAGCCAAAAATCAGAATTCATGACCCACAAACAACTTAAGACGGCCGGTTTGGTGGCCGCATCTGAATCTGAACCGGCACGGGTCGACCAGTACCGGTCCCTCCACAGCTGCTACACGCCATGCGACCCGACCCGGCACAAGTTCGGCACCCAACATCACCGTCGGACCATCGCGTACACATACACGTGACTCGGCCCGTACCGTTGCAACGGGCACACCTTGGAAATTGTCCGGCCATGGGCTTCTGATCCATGACCGACTTGACCAGAACCGCCCCGGCCAAAACGCTTAGGCCAGTGGCCAACTGCGTCAACACAAGCGGACCCATTATCTGGATGGATGGGCTCAGAAACAGAGAGAAGAAGGTAAAAACGGTGAACAGAGAGAAAGAGAGAGAGAGAGAGAGAGAGAAATGAAGATCTCTGGAGGTGATATAAGTGACGTTGTTTATTTTCGTGGGGATATAAAAGTGGTGATGGGGTTGAACACGTAGTTGTGTTAGTTGCTTGTGGCTTGGTGGTGGGATGGATTTTTGGAGTATAGTGCAGATGTTTTTAGGGGCTTTGTATTTTTGTGTTGCGTGGTGTGTTGCCTATTTCTTTTTCTTTTGGATTATTAATTTTCAGTCTTGGCTTCACGGGTTGTTGCTTGCAAGGGATTCAGTCTAGTTTTGTGGGTTTCATCAGCGGTCGAAACTTGATCTGAAAATTTTAGCAGATAAGGTGTGTAGTGTGTGCATGAACTTGGACCACACAACTCCACCTTTATTTTTATCTAATAATTTTTTAAAGAAATTTGATTTTTATTTTTATTTTTTATTTATGTAACAGATGAAAGAAATTTTTAGTGGGAAACAGCAGATAAATTTATTAAAATTACTCATTGACCCATCCAACTTATAAGAATATTTACAGCAACCATAGATGTCTTTTTCCAACTATACTGTAGTACAGAGGTAATTGTATTTTTAACTCATTAATTTATATTTGTTACACTGACTAAATGACCCAAATTCAATTTCTTGCTTTAAATTGAAATAACAAGCCAATCCGCATGCTTATTTCATTTTAATTTCTTCCCATGCCGCCCATATGGACGGTCCTTCGCAAAAACGTAACAACAAAGAAATATCTGTCAAACTTTGGATACTTGGTCTAACACGTTGTGCAAGTCGCTGAAATTGAGTCTCAAATCCCATGACTAACCTCGTGCGTAGAATGGATGTTTGAAATCAGATTGCATTGACTCTGCTTCAGCAGCCGCAACTACACTTACTACTTCTATCGCAAATTACGCACCGACTTGTATGTTTATTTAGGTATGTTAAGCATTGGTTGGTAGTGACGTTGATTCATGCTTTAAAATAAAATAAAAAATTAAAAAAAGCGAAACTTTGGTAGTATTGAAGAGTTTGTTAAACAGTTGAAATGTATTGCAGAAAAAATAATCTACAGAAATGGAACTTCAAAAATAAATTTATGGAAACACCTGTGATTGTTGTCTCTGTTTTGTAGCAATCTATTTCGTATGTCTTTAAGTGTCCTGGTTGCCTTCCGTTATCTTAGTTCTCTGCTCTCTGATTGTCATAGTCTCCAACATCACTCTCTTAAGTTAAGAATATTGATTTAATTCTTCGATTAAATCTAGAATATGGTGTAAAAAAAATTACACTCAGAAAACTTGTCTAATATTAATGTTAATTCTTGAAGTTCTGATATATTCTAAGAAAGAACAATCTTCTTCATGCGAGAACTGCAATTCAAGAGGAGCAATTTCGGCATTTTCTTCGTCTGTGAAAATCCGAGGTACACCTGCAAAGATTAGAAGTCAACAGTAAATGCAGATGTTTCACACAAACTGATGGACTAGTTTTATCATTTTTTCAAGTTAGAATTGACCAAGATGAAATATGAAAGTTGAATTGCATGCACCAATTTCTCGTTATCAGAATATCTGGGCAGAGTACGCTTACCATGAAAACACTCCCTTGCTTCTCCAGCCATAAGTACAGCATCACCACTTCGGAGAAACATAGCTGATGGTGGGTCCTCTCTGGACTTACCTCCCAAAAGGAAAATAGCTTTGCAACCCAAACTGAAGAAAGGAAAAATAAGTAATTTATAACCAAGATGTTAAATTCTCTATTTCTTCACCTTTTTGTCAGCAAACTGAGGCCCCAAAGGGCAGGATGAAGGAATTGAATACCTCATGCTTACTATAGGTTTGCTCCAATCTGCTTCCATGTCATCAAGGTGGCCCCCCAGTGTATCACCTGAAAAGAGGAAGTAATAGGTAAAAACATAACATGGTTATTTTAAAGGAAAGACTGACTTAATCATGCAAGTAAAATGGTCAAGTGGTCACAAAATTTAACAGATTGTCCGTTCTCATATCTCAAGTAAAATAATTAGATATCCAATATGAAAGAGTTTTCGTTTAAAAAAATGTGCAGTTAAAAACCAAGTATAATGCTGTTTTCCTTTTCATCTTCAATCAATTAACTCCTGGTCATGCAGTAGTAAACCTTGAAACTAATAATGGCAATTCAATAACACATGAAATAAGACCAAATAATCAAGAAGCGAAATTGTTTCTTATTAAGTACCCAATCCAAAATAGTTTACTATTGCAGCTTCAGGCTGAAATTCTTCTCCTACAGGCATTGCAGGTACAGCTAGTCTTTTTGCTAGTTGCCAAAGTCCATCAGGGATCTTGTTATGTGGAAGAGATACATCATAGTTTCGCTACACCATGAACATATAATAGCTTCAGAACTTATGTAAAACTATTAACTTGATATCAAATTGTTACTACAAAGTTCTTACGTTATATCGCATTAGTCCCACCCCACCAAGGGGGTGAAAAAAGGATGCAGCTCTATGCACAAACCATCCTAGATAACACATAAACATGTGTGAGATGTCTAGGGAACAAATCCTAGAACACGCACATACTACATTGAAGTTACTCGAGTGGTCAGTCCTAAGCAGACACAGGACTATTCAAACATAGAGCGAGACTCCACTGCAACTTTCCCGCAGAAATTGAGGGTAAACAAGGATAAGTGATTGGAAAGTTGAATAAAAATCAAATCAAGATTACCTTGGACCAGTCAAATTGTAAGCCAAGGGTACTCCACCTCAACTTCCGCAATAGAACTTGAGCGGAAACTGACTTACTTGTCTTCCCACTCAATATTGCAAGATGTCCCTCACAAAATTTCCATCTATGAGAATCCCCATTCTTAACACAATAATTAGCTCCGGAATCCAAACTAGGGAGTGAACTCTCCTCCTCCACCAACACTTTCTTTTCTTTGGCAGCAACAAATAAGTCATGTATAGGTCCATAAATAGCATTGTGATTTGTTCTGTTTGGAGGTTGAGGGAAGCTTTTTAAGCTGTCCCTTATCCATTGGCATTGCTCTTCTACACTCAACGCTCCAGGAATGAAATAAAACCCTGCATTGCAAACACAACACCCCAATACCGTCAACAAGGACGAAGTAATACCCTCCAAATCATACAATTAAGAATCTCTCTGAAAATAACAACGTAAACACTGCAAAGGCGGAACATCGTTCACATTAACTGCTCGTTCTATTTATGTAAGACAAACCAATTGCATTCAGAATTCAAATTCATCGAACATATTCAATCAATCAAATTTCATCTATAGAAACTGGCATTGTTACCGGGGCGATTTTCCAAGCAGAAAACTGGACGGTTGAAACCACATTGCAGAGCGGAAATTCCCTGAGAAAGTTGGATGTTCTGATTGTATGAATCTAGTATAGACTTGAAATCCAAAACCTCCGATAAATCAACTCGTTTGAGTTGTTTTTTCCTGTAAAATTGAAACAAAATTGTAACGGAATTCAATAACTTTAAGAACGAATAATAATAATAAGAGTGATGTTTTAAGGATGAGATACTTTTTGGAGGATTTAAAAGTGTCTTCATAATATAGCTTGTACTTCTTCTCTGCTCTTCTGAAAGCAGTTCGCTCAGCATCTTCAGAGACTTTTTCGGTTCCGTACATCTTGCTGAGTTGGGATTGATGAGCAATTCAAATAATAATCACTCAAAAGAAGGAGACAGTCAATCAAAACACTCGGCCGATTAACGAATTTAGGGTTTTGAACTACGATCCGTTCTCTTGTAAAAAGAAAACGAGTCAGGCGGTAAGCAAGCAGCAACACAGGATGTTTCAGGTTTATCCAAACGACACCGTTGCTTTTAATATTTGATGTGAATGACTACTTTAAGCATGAAGGTTTGCTTGGTAAAAACAGAAACGTTTCGTTTTGTAAATTTCTACTCATTATTTACCAGAAAACATTGAAAACGTGAAACTAGTTTGGTATAACCTTTCATTCAAGCCATGTGCTTATTCCAGATAGATTCCAACAATTACTGTTTTCTGATTTCTTTGTTATATTTATATTCCACGTTTTTTCTTTTGTGAAATAAAAATAAATAAATCTTCATAAATAAAGCATAAAAAATACTAATAATAATATTGAAACACTTTATTACAACACATCATATAAATCAATGTAAGAAATCCCCTTATCTTCCCACCCCATTATAAATTAAAAAGACGAATAAGACCTCCATAAGGACCATAACTGAGGCCTGCCTTCCTAAATAAAAGTCTACTATAGTCTTTTTGCGTTGAAATTTTTAGCGTCTAATTAACCAGAAGCGCCCGCCACGTTAACATGGAGGGCGCCCTTATCATTATCTGCGATATAGAAAAAATCTCGTTAATTCAATGGACACAAGTAACCATGAGATATAAATACCTGGAACACGATCAATAACAAAAATTTTCGTTCAAAAGTTACCAAAAAAAATCACAGAAATGGCGTGCAGGACTGTGTTGCGCTGCGTCTTCTCAACAGAGCCGTATAGACCTTTGCATCAAAACCGTGCCCTTTTTTCTCTCCCATTAACGACAGTTGTATTTTCTTCCCAAGTTCGTTTCAGTTACAGAAATTATGGAACTATTAGAGCTAGAAATCTTCACTTTACACGACGAACTCAAATTTGTTGCTCGCGTAACGACAACCAATCATCAGCTCAGGACGAACAGGAACAAGGTCCGCCTCAAGAAGCCGTTCTTAAAGCCATTTCAGGTTTCTCTTTAGCCTTCCCCTTCAATTCTTCATAATCAAGGAAATTTTCCAGTGGGTGAACTTAATTTGATTACAATTTGAACAATTTAAGTTTCTTCTATGTTTATGTGCAAATTTGATTGGCTGGCTATTGTTTCATTGGATAGGAATATTTGATTTGAGAAATCTAGAATATATTGAGGTATACAATATGTATGTACTGATTGGGAGCTTGATTGATATTGGTTTGTAGAGGTATCAAAGACAGAAGGTCGGGTTGGACAGACCACAAATGTTGTTATTGGAGGTACTGTAACTGATGATTCTACTAATGAGTGGCTGGCTTTGGATCAGAAGGTATAATTATATTTGCTTTAAGAATTTGAATAAGTTTCACTATGTATTACCTGAATGTGTATTCCGTAACACTGAACGTTATTGCATTTATAATATAAATTGTCACACTTAATATACATCTTTCTTTGAACATTATGTTCGATGTCAAAAAAGGATTTTGCGTCACAATAAACTAGCAATTTTCTTTATATAGATGTATTTGTGTTAGGGTTTTGTGATATGTGATCATCTTTGGTTACTTTGTTCTGTCTTGACGTAATGGTGATATTGTTACGCCAGGTCAATTCATATCCAACGGTTAGAGGGTTTACAGCAATTGGAACTGGTGGCGACGACTTTGTGCAAGCCATGGTTGTTGCTGTTGAATCAGTCATTCAGAAGCCTATACCTGAGGTATTGTCCATTGTTGTTGCAACTTAGATTGTATTTAGAAACTGAAATAGGAAATGGTAAACATGTCTTAGAACGTCATATTTGTGTCTCTACAAATGTATGATGTGTCCAAATGACATTTGAGTTTTTAAACTAGATTAGGTGGGATTGTATTCTGTTTTTAATTTATAGACTTTTTTCTTTGTGATCTGAATCAAGACATGTAGTATCTGATGGAACAACAATTTAGGTGGTCCATTTGAGGCTGCAATGGCTGGAGATTGTGTTAGATGTATATTATAAGGGCACAGGGTTGTATTTCACTGTTAGACATATTACTTGAGAGATAATTGAATGGTAATAGAAAAAATGGTGTTTCTTTGTAATTTGAGGACTAATAATTTGGATTACCTCTTCATTTTTCAGTTGGTGTTTGAGAGAAGTGGAAAGTATATTACCACATTCAATTTAGCTTATTTAGAATTCTTCAAGATTTGATCCTTTATGTTTACAAAAGATCGATTTTATTTAAATTGACNTCAAGACATGTAGTATCTGATGGAACAACAATTTAGGTGGTCCATTTGAGGCTGCAATGGCCAGAGATTGTGTTAGATGTATATTATAAGGGCACAGGGTTGTATTTCACTGTTAGACATATTACTTGAGAGATAATTGAATGGTAATAGAAAAAATGGTGTTTCTTTGTAATTTGAGGACTAATAATTTGGATTACCTCTTCATTTTTCAGTTGGTGTTTGAGAGAAGTGGAAAGTATATTACCACATTCAATTTAGCTTATTTAGAATTCTTCAAGATTTGATCCTTTATGTTTACAAAAGATCGATTTTATTTAAATTGACATATTGATAGTTCTATCATGGAGCATCTATGTGTGTGAAAACAGCTAGTGACAAAGCATCTCAATGCTGTGGGATCTGTCACATGGAATTATCGTCTATTCTTGATATGGTGAAACTGTAGTCATTCATATATTAATAAATGGGAAGGGAGACTGCTGCTTCCCAAATAAACACTATGATTACTCTCAGCATGCCAATAGCAATTCTTGTACGACAATATGAAGTTACTTGACAGCATCTCATATGAACTATATGTTTTACATCATAGGGAGATCACACCAAATTATATATATTAATATATCTGAATAATTAGGCTGAAGCAAGAATTTTATATGTTTTGATTGATGGTTCAAGGAAGATAGATTTGGACTGGCAATGCAGATAAGATCTTGGATTTCCTTGACCAGAGATGATGAGTGACTTTCATAAATTATCCCATGATATACATCAGAAGAACTTTTTCTTAAGGCTGAAATTTCAATACTATGCCTGAGGTTTCACCAATCATTACAATTATACCATGTTATGCAAGAGAATAACTTTTTCTTGTCATTGATCTGGCATCTCAGCTCAAGAAGCTTGATTTGTGGTTGGAATTATTATTGAGAATGTGAGAAAGCTATAATTTTTTTGTTTCTTTGCTGGGCGAGAAGTTACCCCTTATCATTGTGATAATTTTCTTACCTTCTATAGTTACTGCATGATGGTGTTGTTTTGTTCTCAAAGGTAGCATATATTGAAGATGTGGAAAGTTGTAGCTTACAGTTGCTGTTGTACTTTTGCCAGCAGAATCTGTACTATCATTGTCATATACTCATATTACTCCAACTAAAAGCGGAACGAAAACAAAAATCTAATCGAATTACCATGCTTTATTGTAGGGTCGCGTGAGGCAGAAATTATCATCAAGGGGCAAATATGTATCTGTCAACATTGGTCCTATTCAAGTCAGTTCCAGTGAGCAGGTATATTTCTCTGTCTCAAGTATGCGCTCGCACACACACACACACACACACACACACACACACACACACACTCTTATGCACATAGCCCATACTTACATGTTATCAGGTTTTTATTCACTTAGATTTTTGTTTGGAGTAGACTGATAGTGAAGGAAACATTGTTTTCCAGGTCCAAGCTGTATACAATGCCATGAGGAGAGATGACCGAATGAAATACTTTTTGTAGTGTGATTTTCAATTTTCTTTTTTGTTTGTACAGAATGCTAATAGATGAGGCTGTATGGTTTCCCCTTTCATCTTCCTCTACTTACACTACTCTTTCTTCTTCGAGGTGGTGGGTTTATGTTCTTTGATTAACCTATGTCATTATTTTAGGCAAAGGGATGGTCAAAATTAATTATTCTCTCTATTTATAAGATGTGTATGGTATTAGTTATTTAATCGGAAACTAGGTAGCTAAGAACCCTTTTTTTTTTTTTTTATTTGTTATTGATACTCTTAATTTTGAAAGATGAGTCATTTCTGTGGACTGCCACATTATTGAGCTTGCGAAAGCGTTTTTGTTTGTTTGTCATGGGCATTTTACTTTGATGCATCCATAAGAAGGTAGCCATCTTGGCTTTATTACTATCACTCAAGATTTTATATTAACATTTCTAGTCAAACAGTCATTTGTCTCTGGGAGGCTAGTTTCTCAGTTTGAAAGAGTTCTATACTTATTAGTTTCTGAAGTTACCGAGTGAAACAAAGAGAAAAGGATACATACACCCGTCAGGAATAATGGGTTGCCTCTTATCTATTTAATAGTCAATTGCTTTGACTTGAGATGTTATTTTCACAAGTTATAATTTCTTTTCATTATTTTTAGGTGAGGATTGGAGGAATGGTAGTGGTTGGAAAACTTTCCTTGAGATGCCGAATAAACAAAATTCCAAACGCATAATTAGGCAAAGACATCGGTTTTGGTTGTCGCCACCTTAAACACAACTATTATTAGTAAATGATTGATCTTATATGGAGCAGTTATAGTCAGCTTGTGCTGCCATGCGGCGTGTCGCAAATCTTATTTCCCAACGTAGTTGCACAAACGCTGTACAGGTCTGAGTAAATGACTTGCCCATTAAATTTTTGACCATCATAAACTCTTATCTTCATTCTTATTATTATTATTTATTATTATTATTTTTGCGTGTTTTTCTACATTTGTGACGCATGCATACACGCACACAGATTAGGTGATGCGACTGCGGGAGAGGAACCTCACAGTCTGAGACCACGATCGTGGCTTCTGGTTGGGTCATTTGTGAGAAATTATGCTCTTAATTATTGTATAATACAGTATGTATGGTAGCGGCAGCAATCAAGCATGTTGTTTTTAATTAGGAATTACCTATAGGCAATACGTCAAGGGCTGACTGAATGACCAGTCCTTCTCGGACCAAAAAGATTCCCCATTTTTCTTGTCAAATTGATGCTCATAATATGTATGTAATGTACGTACTCAATTGCTCAAGCAGTCACCATCTATCCTTAATTTTAAATATTAGTTGATGACTTGGTGCATAGCATCTGCAGTAGTAGTTGCAATTTCATAGTTTATTTCTGCAACTTTCCAGTTCCTGACGAAATAAATATATTTTATATATATTTGCCCAGTAAAAGACCAAACTTCACCGATCATTGCCTTGTTAAAAATGAGTGCTTGAGTTCCAACTCGGCCATGACTCAATACAGGATCAATACCAATATTTACAAGCAAGATAATTGAATGTAAATGATCATTTTAAGTACTGATAGGAACATGATTCTATTTGTAATTGGCTCCATAATCCTTGAAATATAAACCAGTTGCTGGACCCGATAATTTGATTTTTAATTTTAAGCATATGCTTTAGAATAATTATATGAAACATTTTTCATAGTTGATGAGGCAGGATACTGATGTCGTCACTTGTGGGCATTTCTCTCATTGTCGTGACGCTTTTAATTTATTTATTACCTTAATTTGAGTCCAATTCAACAGCAGCTAAGTGTATGCGCGACATACGCTGGTCTTCATATTGCAGCTAAATTTGTTTCTTCTCCTTGCTTGCTCTTCTTTCTATCTTCTTCTTTACCAAAAAATTTAAGCATATAGAAGGCCACTTCAGTCTCTTCTTGTTCCAGTTCAATAACCTGTTGGGAAGCATGGCAGAAAAGGTTATTCTGCATGGAGAATCTAAGGTAAATAACTTGCCTTTTGCCTCTTTCTCTTCCAAGAGCCTCTTTTTTTTTTTTTTTTTTTTTTTTTTTTTGTTCTCTGTTTGTTTACGTTCATTCAGCATTTTCTAATAAAAGGGTTAATTTCCAATATGAATATGGAATAGGATATGATTGAAGGTGAACTCCAAGAATCGACTTCAGCTTCTCAACCTAGATCGCCCAATCAAACTAGCAGACCTAGCAGTATGATCATTAAGGTAAGTTCTATTTTTTTGTTTAATCTTTGTTTGCTTTTCCTATTTATTAAGCCACTTAAATTTGATTACACTGTAACTTATAATTAAACAGAAGGCGCATACGCTGATTCCTGCTCACTTAATAGCTGAAGCCATTTCAACTCTGCCTGGCCTTGACCTGAGGTGGTCTGGCCCGATAACGCCCACTGAAATGCAATATGTAGAGCAGTATATTTTTGCAAAGTATCCACAGTATTGTAATGGTGTTGTAGAGCAACAAGAAAAGCTCGATCTTGAAAGTCTCAGTATCAATGAAGAATCATCAGAAACCGGCCCTGATGAGAAACGCAAGTCCCCTAAAAGCAACTCATCATCTCCATCCTTTACCGGTAACCTCTATGATATCGACAGAACCCAACTTGAGCCCTCAAGACTCCTGGATATCCTCTCCAAGAAAAATTCCTTTCAGGGAAACTTCGTTTCAATCCCAGAAATTCAAGCGCGAAACCGGGCTTTGAAACATTGCGGACTTAATGAAGATGAGTACTTGGTTCTTTTTATGCAAAGCTACAAAGAAGCCATGTTGATGATTGGTGAGAGCTACCCTTTCTTTAGAGGGAACTATTATTTGACAATTCTCTCAGAAGACTCTGATTTTATAAAGGGATTTGCGAGCCAGAAAGAATCAAAAGTTATTTCAGCGCCGGAGACATGGTTAGATTTGAGAATTAAAGGGTCACAACTTAGTCAAAATTTTAGAAGGAAATGCAAGTACACCCCAAAGGGGCTTTTCTCATATCCAACGGTTGTGAATGGGACGAGATACTCCATGCACTGGATCTCTGAGGCTCACAGGAACTCGTGGCATGTTCTTCTTGATGCAACGGGGTTAGATTTTGGTGAGGATCGACTGGCACTTGCACTTCATCGACCTGATTTTGTGCTGTGTACACTTGATAATACACATGCTCAGGGTCAGCCATTGAAGATTACCTCCCTCTTGGTTAGGAGAAAATCATTTGAAAATGCATCAGCTTCAGCCTAGCTTCATCCATCTCTATAAAATTCTTGAGATTTGAGAAGGCGGCATAGCTTGTAATAAGGTGTATATATATATATATATACACGTTGTAATTTTCTTTTGTTCTAAGGAAGCATGATTTCTTTATTTTCTTCTGTTCTAAAAAATATTGGGTATTGTCCAAAATCAATTTGTCCATTTTATTATTTTTAGTTCAATTTACCTATCCAACTTTATATTAGAATTGTTTGATGGAAAATTTACGAAGCTTTTGGCACCATAAAAGATTGGGTAATTCTGGTAGAGAAGACAATAGCAAACTACTCCTAGATGGGGTGATTTGATAGAGATTATTGAGTATTATTTAAGAGGTAAAGTTTTTATTTTATCAATAATTTTAAAATCTCGAAAGATTAATTAAGATCCATATAAACCGGTTAAAACAGATTTGAAAGGTTTGTTGTGAAGCGTGATTAGACTTGATATAGTTTATAAAGCCCAAGACTGGGCCTAGTTTATAACGTTATGGATTTAGGATTAGCCCAACCACCTATAAAGTAATCAAGCTAGATTCAATCAACCTGGCCTCTTGTCGTCAAGTCACAGTCCATGTGAAGACAGGAAGACAAAGATCGAAAACCAAAATGTTGGTACAAGGTTAATGCCTACCCTACCCTCCTCGATCAACTATAAATCGATTAAGAAATCTTACTTCGTTGGGTGTGAAAGAATCCAGACCTAAAATAAAGATATGAAAACTTTGCTCCAACAAATAATCTTATATCATGCACATTTCACAAACCAAACTGTCTTAATGTTGTAGATATAATTACGAAAATACATCTAGATTAGGTTGAATTCTTTTTATGGTATTTAGTTAAAATCCTTTTTCTTAATTTATATTCTAAGGGCACCTCGGGATTGTTATACATGATTAATAATAAAAGTTAAAGGATTTTTTTCCACCAAAATAATGTTTTAGTAATACTTTTTCATCCACGGATTTTTTAAATGTTTATAATCTAACAGCGAATAGAGATCAAACTCGATTCAGGCCGTTGAGATTTTTAAAGAAGAGAGATCAATTAATCTTTTGATGGTAAAATATTAGTTTTTTATGGTTGTGATTGATTGAAATTTGACTTGAAAAGGTGGTTACGCAAACTCTAATTATTTGATTGCTTGCGATTGGTAAGGTCGGTAGAAGTAGAGTTTGAGAGATTTTGGTAAAGATAATAGTGATGGTATAATCGGATTTGAAGAAAGAAATATAATTTTAGATAATAAAATAGTATTTTAAAAAAAATTTGGTGAAAAACATCATCAAACGAATATTTGGATGGGAAAAAGTCGTCTACTCTAAATAATAACGGAGAAATTAACATGTTATTTTCACACCTCATCATTATGTTTACTGGTGATAATTGAAATATTAATTGCCTTAACTGAAAACAAAAATTACTGTGAAATGCTCAAGAATCGAAATCAAAATCAAATTTTCAAATAAAACGGCAAACTCAACTTTGAACTTGTTTTATGGACACGACACATGTTCCCTCTCTACACTGATCTGATGAATTAATATAAACAAAGTTTCAGTAAGGGATTCTATTCTAGCCACGCACACATTTACATAATCTTGTCTGTATAATCACTCTTCAAAAAGAAAAGAAGACACAGAGAAAGAAACAATAAAAACACCCTTTTGCCTTGGTTCAGTAGCCAACCAACATCTGTCCAATACAATACACCAACACTCAAAATGTCCTCAAGTACCGCAGTGATTTCCTGCCAGTTTTTTTTTTTTTTTTTTTTTAATTTTGCCTCACCGACAATTTCAGAAAGCTGTGGAAGTGGCAACACCCACCCACTGATCTACTGCATCTCTGATCTCGGGGCGCATGTTAGACACACCCACCAATGTCCCGGAAAATACTTTTTGACATTTCTCTGTTTTCACCGACTCTTTACAACCAGCTGTTTAGCGACTGACTTTTTTAATATTACTAAACTAATTAAAGCATTTCATTCCGAAATCTCTAAAAATGTATAGTAATTAAGATAATTAATTATATAATTAACGTACAAGTACAACAACTGTAAAGCCGATAATTCAAAAACGCAGCGTTTCAACAAAAACTATCAGTGTCCGCGACGTAACTCGAGTTGGCTGCTGAAGGTATCTCGAAATGCCAGAGTCTCCCTACAGAATGTTTTAAGTACTTTCTACACAAGAACTCCTCCGCGAAAACCTTCTCCACTCTCCGATTGACGTCGTGGAGGAACACGTGCGTCACACCGGATCCTTTCCGTTGCTTCGCCATTACAGCTGCCGAGAATATTGCGCCCATTCTACCCGGCGCCTCCGGGAAGTACCCTCGCGGCGCGTCGATCATGATCATGTCCCACTCTGTGTCGTACACTTCATCGGGAAGACCAGTCAAAGCTAACTTACATTCTAAGTTGCCACGTACGAATGCTTTTGACGCCCTGCAGTTGGGTTCGGATTTGTACGTTTTGAGGAGATGATCGGCTTTGGAGAGCTGCGTGCGGTACTGGACGGCATACGCTTTGAGCGATGGGGCGTCTTTGAGAACTTGTTGGACCCACTTGGGGTCTTCTTCGAGGAATAAGGTGTTGCCACGTGGGTTGAGCGAGTTCCACATCATCGAGTCGTAGCCTAGACCGAACACAAGGAAGTTGCAAGGCGCTTTTTCTTTGAGGACGTTGAAGGAGACGGTTATTTCGGCAAAGGATTGCTGTGGGACGATCTTTGAGGTGGCGTAGTGGAGGATGGCATTGAGTTGAATCGGCGTGGCCGAGTAATCGGACATGGACCGGGCTTGTGAACTGGCCAATGAACAGAAGAATGAGTGCTCGGCGGAGCGGAGCAAGCTGGAGATAAGTACAGTGGCGGCGATCAATCCTACTATTGCCACAATCAGGAGCTTCCGTTTCTCAGGTTGGAACTGAGGGTTCTTCATGTTTTGATTACTGATTTTTTTTTTTTCCCTATTAATGCTATTGTTTTGTGGGAGGCTGGGAGCTCTTGGTTTTATAAAGAGGGAGAATGGGGACAGATTCCTATGGAGAAATATGGAAAGAAAGTGGGGGTGTATTGTTAATTAAATTAAAACATCTTATTATTGTCAGAGTGATATGCACGTCCCAAAGTGCAGCGTTTTGTCAGGTTTTTCGTGACTCGTGTCGAATTATGAGTGGTTGACAAATTAATTCAACCATAAATAGTTGCGTTACTTGCGTATATTCTTTTTGGAACAAACTACATAATATATATTTGAAGAAAAAACCAACCACACTATCTATTTACTCGAAAATTATTGGGTCGTATTATGATATTTTTTAGAATAATATTTTGAAAAAAATAAAATTAAATGGGTATTACGATATAGGACTTGAAAATAAACAAAAATATTCCTCTATGTTTGTTTATTTACTAAACAATCATATAATAAAATATTAAAAATTAAGAAAAACACCACCAACCTACCCATTAAATACGGAAAACCGGCTATCATCGTCGGAAGGTAGTTGGAATCGCCGTATAGACACACGACCGGCTGGATCTAGATAGTCATGCACCGATATGGCAGTGGATCTGGTCAGAAAGTGTCAAATCTACGGCTAGATCTGGTCGCATTTAGTCGTCAACGACAACCAAATATATGTTTTGGTCATAGATCTGGCCGGAAAAGCTAGATCGGTGCACTACCGTCTAGATTCAGCTGATGGTGCGCTATTATACTAGGTTCGGCTAGCTTCCGGAGGTGGTGGCCGGAATTTGGTAAATGCGAGTTTCTGGGGTTTTTTTTTCAATTTCTAAAACTTTTTTTTGGGTGTTTAGTTAAATTAACAAATTTAGAAGGTTTAAAAGAAATTGAATAATATAGAATAATATTTTGAGAATAAGAGAATAAAACGTGTATTTTGGATAGGATAGGGAATATAATACTAAAAAATTCTTTAATTCAACTCTTGTTGTTGATGCAAAATTTACACATATTGGTTTTGATAGAATCCAAACTGATATGTGTGTGATTAAAAATAACTAATAATTATAATGAATAATGCATAATAATGTAAAGTACACAATCAATTTTTAAAGTGGTTTAGTAAAGTTGAATCTTAAGTCTACGTCCACTGTTTTTCTTACTGCTTTAGAGAGCTTACAAGAATAATAATAGAATGTCTAAAACAATTTGCTAATCCATTTCCCATCGTTGGAGGGGATTTATATACAAGGAAAGAGATAAATTATCGGGATTGCAATCACATTTGAATTGCAATTTCAATATTTTCCTGATTGTACGCTAAGATCACACTAACACTACTGTTGATCTGATCTTTTTCGAAATATCCAATATCTGAGTTATTTGTGATTTGGTAAACAATTGCGAGATTTAGTCACAAATAGCTTATGTTGGGTTGAGTTATAACTCAACGAGCTTATACTGGGTCAGACAAACGTTGAATTGATCTAATTCTGGGTCGAATTATATCTTTGTGAGACTTTGACTTTTATGAACTTAATGAAAAAATCACACACAACACTTATTAATACCGTAAAATAATATTTTCCTATGTGCATCTTAAATTATGCTATAGTTTATTAAAATCTTGTAAATGAAAATTCGAAAATAGTTTGTGATGGATTTGTTACATATTTTAATTACAATAATAATGGAGGTTAACCTAATCCTATTGTTTCAGTTAACTTCCGTGCCAAGAAAAGCGTTTTGAGTTCGAATGAAATGCGACACGTGCAATTTAATGATTTATTAGAATCTTGGAAATAATTAAAGAAGATATGATATAACACCGTTTTATCATTTTTCTTAATTATGTATGAATTATTCACTTAGGACAATTAAAACTATCTCAATGATAAAAAGACACGGGTTGGTGGGAAGCGTGCAAGTATTTGTTATGTATAATATTTTATATTTGTTTCCATTAATGTGTTTGGCAAACAAATTGATTATGGCAATAAAATTTTGGAATGAAAATTCTTTTGTAATTAAAAGTCAATAACTATTACCTAATTTCATGTCTGCTCATGAATTTTATTTTCCTGTCTTTCCCTTCTATAAATGCATGATTTATCAAATTCAAATATGTTAGTTGAATTGGATCATTCCATTCAAGACTCTGACTTAAAATCAATTAATTATTTTGACCTGAACTTGTCTGATGGGTCTTGGCATGAGAAAATTAACTCTTGGTTGTTCAAAACCGGTTCGGTTTATGCAATTTTTTTGAATGGTTCTAGATTTTGGTAACTTTATTGCCTTTGTAAGGAAATTTAATAAATTACAAGTCCTTGATAGAGGGATTTGCTGGGAGAATGGTGAATCTTTTAAAAACTACATGCTTTTATTATTCACTGGTTGACACACAAATTTCAAGAGAGAAAAAAAGAAAAAGAAAGGTGGAGAAAAGAAGATTTGGAAGAAATGCGGTCTCAACCTTTATATTGTTTATTGAAGTGTATTTGTTAAGTTTCTTCATCTTATCAGGTTGTAGAGAATATTTATTGAGGTTAGTAAAGCTTAATATATATATATATAGGACTCATTGTTTTGAATATTTGGTCTCATTAATAATGTCTTTGTAAGAGTTTGGCATAATATTTTTGAATTTTGAATATTTGTTGACGAGTTCCGTTATTATCGGCTTGTCGCATTCCCCGGGCCCCGCATAATTAACAAGCAACAATGAGAATATGATATTATGGGCTTTCCCCAGCCCACCCAACAAACTGGCAACCACCTTGGCCCATCCTTCTAACCATTCTTGGCAAGCACTGCTGTGGTGGTGGTGGAACCTCTAAACACGTGGGCTAGTGTTAAAATAGATCGAAGGGCGGAATGTTCAAATTTGAATGGGTGCCCAATTGCCTATATAATGGCTGTGGGTCACTCTATATACCTAAAGATTTAAAAAGAATAATTTTTAGTCCCACTCCGTTATCTGATTATTAGATTGGATTCACGTTGGTGGAATTAAAATCGATGTGTACATTATTAAAAATAACTAGTAACGTATGACAAAAATACAATAAAATAAATGTCACAAAGAGTTTTAAAGTGGTTTGACAAATTAAGATTTTTAGCCTACATCTACTATTTTTGTATTTGTTGTGAGAGCTTTAGTATTTCTAGAACAATTTGTTAACCTATTTTTCATCGTTAGAGAGGGTTTCTATACAGATTTTATACAAAGAAAATAGTAAAAATAAAGAGATTATAATTAAGATTGAAATGCAACTCCGATATTCTTGCGATTGAACGTTAAGATTGCGTTATGATTACTATCGATTTAATCCCTTTAAAATTTCAGGGATCTAAGGTTATCTGTGAGTTGTTTGAACAACTATTGAGATTGATTATGACTAATTTATGCTTGATCAATCTGTATCTCAACGAGTTTATACTGAGTTAGATAATTGTTTGAGGTGGATTGATTCAGGATCCAGTTATAACTTCACACTTCTCCTCCCAGGATGATGGAAAAATAAGAAAATTCACACACAACGTGAGCATATTGAGATTTGATACAGAACTATGGGGGTGTACCAAAATTCACCTTGTCAGGTCATGCATTTATATGCTAATTAAAATCTGCGAAAGGACACCTAAAGTTGCTGTCAAATTGTTGACCAATTCACCATAAAACTTTAGTGAAGCAGTTATTAAACTGGCAAAGTTTAGCAGACTCTCGTACGACTCGGCAAACAGAACTTCGCCTCCTGGCTCCTGCCCTTAACCATCGAAAACAGAGCGCAAGAAGGGACATCCTCCAGCTCATGCAATTATGATCCCTTTAAGTTTTTTATTATTACCCAAATCTCCAAATAGGGTTCCATGGGCGGGCCAATGAATGGAGAGCCCATACTGGCCCGATCTTTGTAAGCCCAGATGCTACTTCCACCATTTGAAGTCCAAACCTCTTATGTGATAACGACTTTATTTGATCAGCTCAAGAAGAGTTGACTTTGATTCTATTTCATTGCCCTCCCAAACAACAATGGAAGAAAGTTTCACATTCTAATCTGTTGGTTGTCAATCAAATCCACAAGATATTAAAGTAATCGCAGCCGTCCAATTTATCAGTCAGACTCTCTTAAGAAACTTTGGTCATGGTGTGCAAGAAAACATACCACGTGGAATTAACGCGACACCTGCCAGCTACAGCTCAGACTTATTTAAGGCGAAAGTTGCTCTCGTCTTTAAAGCTTTTAAAGCTGACAACTATTCAGTTGCACATTACTGCGGCCCAACCACCCTGAAACTACACCCTTTATTAATACTGAAGAGCTCATTTACAGAAACGCTCCACCGTCCTAAATCATAACCGTCAATCAAAATATGGGGTCCGCTAAAACTGACATAGACGGTCAGGATGCGACTGCCACTCCTTGATTCTAAACCAACACTCAACCGCACCACCATTAATATGGCTTTCTGACTAGACAAGTGTCGTAAAGCTTCACGCCTTTACTAGTTATTTCTAAACATCAAGAGTGCAGTCTTCATTTCACAAACCAAATTCGAATACGCGATGATGAAGAAAATGAGAGTGCAGAGAAGTGGTTTTGTTTTCAGTTTGTTCGTTTGTTTGTTTATTTGTGGTTCAGTTGTGACTGTGAGTGGTGCTGATACCACAGCGGAGGAGTGTAACGATGTGTTTCAGAAGATGATGATATGTCTGGATTTTGCAAAAGGGAAGAGCCCAACACCGTCCAAGGAGTGTTGCACCTCCATAAAAGATATAAAAGATAGCAAACCCAAGTGTCTGTGTTATGTCATTCAACAAAGTGAAAGCGGAACTGACACGCTTAAGAGCTTGGGCGTGCAGGAGGCTAAGTTGCTTCAGCTTCCCACTGCTTGTCAAATACAAAATGCTAGCATCAGTAACTGCCCCAGTAAGTTTTGTCTTCCCAAAGATTTATCACTTGTTTACAGTAACATCCAATTTTACTGCCTTTGTTAGAACTGAGATCTAACTTCCTGCATGCATATTTATCAAAGACTTCGTCCAATAAATCAAACATAGATTTCATATATCGTCTGTTTGCTCATGCATATTTGTATGCTGAAACTCACAGCAAATAGGTAAAGGTATAGTGAACTGTTCGGGTACAAAAAAATTGCGTAAAATTGATGAATAGATTTATTTCGTCATAGTCGAGTTACACCTTTTACATGCTTTTTTTAAGTACGTTGAATGGTGAGTGCTTGAGGACTGCTATCTGGTTAGAAATCTCTGATTCCATACGGTAGAAACTGAGGAAAAAGATCTAGAATTTAGTTATATTAAATTGTGTTAGTACATATTATGAGATAGTGTACTGAAACAATTGAAATTTCGTCTCTTGTATTTTTAGTAAAGTTTGCTTCATTAGAGGACTTTGTCATGTTTGTATTTCACTATACCTATTTCTTTTAGTGGTCCAGGCAACTTGATAGTCTGTAAATAGAGAAACTATATAAAGACTGAACATCATTCATCAAGAAATGAACCCACTGAGTACTTTCTTCAAATAGTTTGTTTCTAATATTTTATCATCCATTTGTTATGAACAGAGCTTTTAGGTCTGTCTCCTAGCTCTCCAGATGCTGCTATCTTCACAAATGCTTCCACAACAGCAACTCCCTCTACGACAACAGGGACATCGTCGCCAGACAAAGCTGATTCTACCTCAAATGGACCCAAACATGGGCCATATCTTGTTGGGCCAACCTTGGTGGTCGCTATGGTCGTCTTTTCTCTTGTATTAGCCACTGGGTCTGACTCTTTGTTTAATAAATAGGGTTAAATATTTGCCTCACGGGCCTGTCAAGACTCTTAGTGTGTTATTTGCTTTCATGTTTTCTTCACTCAGGACATCAAGGTTTAATGCTTTGCATTCGTCTTTATAGACTTTTAAAAGACATTTTCTTTGCAATTTATGGTATCATTTTCTAGCTTTCGTTGCTGGGTTTAGATTTTCATATTTACGTAATGTCTAATTATTCAATATTCAAGAAATGCTAATCCCTGAATAAGCCTATTGAGGTTCGAGCATGTTATGCAATTATTATAACTATTTCAAAATTTGTTTCAGAAATATGGAAAAGAAAACAGACTTAAGCTCCTCCTTATTTGCTCAAATCAGTGTGTTAAATTGCGCAAAACAATTTGAGGAAAAAGAACAATCCTTGATATGGTTGAGTTATTGTGCGAATATTCCACTATGAGGCCTCAAGAAAATGAGAAACGAAAATAATATGCACAAATTCCTTCAGTTCATCAACTCCACAAGCTGGAGATCTTTACTGAAGGTATAAATGAACCCATGGCTTCAAATATTTGCTCTAACGAGGCTATAGAATACAATATAAAACCTATTGGGGGAGTATATAAATTTACTTTAGGAAACAATGAAAAGAATCTTGTAAAATCATTGAAACCTATGAATATAGAACCATTTCAAAAAGACACCTTTTTGAAACTTTTGTAGCAGAAAATATCGAAATGCGAACGTTGAAAAAATATATCTGCAGCACGGTGTATCAGTTTTATAATTGTCTGCTGAAATCACCAAGAAGATAAGTTCCTACCTATCCGATTAGTTTGATGGCAATTGTCATAGTTTAACTTCCATGGGGAACAGAGGTAGTTGCGGAAGAGACAACCTTCCCAACAGTTGAAAGTTCTTTTTCATGCTCGGTCAATGACACGGCTTCAGCAAAGCTCTTAGACATTCTCTTGACGGAGTCAGGAGATGGTGAAATTGGAATTTGTTGTTCACTAACTACTACCACTGGAGGAGCCACAAGACTTGCTTGCTGTCCTGCCTTCCTTTCCTGTATAGCTTTCTGCCTCTTCTCATAGAAGTAAAAATCGTCTAGGATGGAAGAATACGTTTCATAGTTCTTAAAAATGTTTAACATCTCCATCCCCTGTTCCATTTCTACCTGAAACATTGAGTCAGTGAAACACAATGTTACAGAGATAAAGAATGTAACAGAGAACCATCTCCCCAATAATGAGAAAGAAGTTACCTGAAGATAACTATTACTTATAACTTGATAGGCACACATAACACTCAGATCATGCTAAAAGCTCAAACCCAATTTTAGCTACAATACAATGCACTTCACAAGATGTTTATTTTCATTACGTTTTGTTTTCTTATTTTATATTTCTAATATGAAACCAAACATATTGGAAAATCAAATAAATAAAAGGAAATAAAATAAAATCTCAACTTTAGGAAATCTGTACATTCTGAATAAAAACCAATATAGAGTGAGTAGTATTATGTTACTGAGATTCATCTTTCCACGATTTCAAGAACATAAAAGCAGAGTATGATCCATGCAGAAATAATCCTCCTATAACATGAGCTTATCAAAGATGGAGCTCCAAATTTGCTGTCAATTGATGTACTTCAAACAGTAATATCTCAACTTTCAACATAACACATAGATGCAGTATTAACACCAAGAGGGGCTGGTATGTTTTTAAAATGAAAAAACACACTAATAATGCCCATTAACACTAATTAGAGCTGTTGACAGTGGCCTAACTTGGAGACTTCAAACAAAGTGTACAAGTGCAAGCAGCTAAAGGTTATCCGTTGTCATAGTACTCATAAATTTAGAATAAAGCAAGAGTCATAATAAGCTCTTACCTCTTGAGTATCTCTACTATTAGTAACTGGTTTGTTGTCATTATTTTCAAGTAGAATGTGACGAAACTGACTGTTGGGAACATCCTTAATTATGTGCCACTTAACAGGGAACTGTCCAGACCACTTATCCTGCAGCCAATAATCTACATTCTTGTCAAAGTCTACAGGTCCCACCATCTCTGCCACACCACAGAACTGGGCACTAGCATTCACCTGCATATGATTGTAAGTGCACAATCAGAGATCATAAAACAACTCTCAAGTTTTTGCATGTGGTTTCCGAAAAAAAGTTCTTATCATGAATGAGCCTGTTAAATCAGTGAGTGATTACAGAAGGAATCCACAGAGATTAGCAGTAAGAACTTCCTCGTATAATTAGCTAGAATTGTTAAGAACAAAGAATAAGTATCTCATCTATTTTATGCAGGAAAAAATCAAACCAAAAAGGAAAAAAAAAAAAAAAAAAAAAAAGGAGAAAAAACAATCTGATGGAATAAGAGCAAGATTGAAGGAAACAAGACATGCACCAGGGAACTTTTTTGCTTTCATATGACAATAATTGGTAAAAGGAGAATTATTACGTGTATAAGTATTGCGTGTGTGAATGTATCTCTGTGAAAGGCCATCCAACCCACTACAAAGATGATGACCCAACAATGGGCTGCAAAAACACGTTTGCACAGGGATGAAGGCTGGAGAATTAGACAATGATAATATCATTACAAACCATCCCTACATCCCTTCAACAATCCTCATGCATGTCAGTGTGAAGTATTTTTGAACCATCAATTCTTTTTAGCAGATTAGGCAAGTTATTCTTAAATTGAATCAACTAGATGTCAATAACCATGCAACTGTGTATTAAACATTTTGTGCAGGAGACTGGTTAAAATACCGAAAATAACAGAAAGATTGGGCACATCCTCTCTTTCTCCTTTGCTTCACGATAAGCACAATCCAACTTTTTGTTGCCATTTGGGGTGCTAGCCCAGACACCATACTTTATACTCTTGTGAACATTATCTTCACTATAAGATTTGATGATGAAGAACTTTGCATCTTTGTAGCTGGTGATAAAATCCAATCTGTTGTAAGAGTCCCTAAGAAGGTCATCAATAATGGAATTCTTGCTATCACCAACAGCAGACCCATTTACTATTGTCCGAATTTTTGGCTTAAATGCCCTTGGTCCTCTATTTCGCTCACTTAGCATATCAAGTGTGGCACTACAGCTACATGAGAAGTCATTGCATCTTCCTCTTTGTCTTGCTTCAGTGAGTGTGGGCCAGCTTTGACCGTCCACTCCCATGGTAGAAGTGGAGACACTTCCATAATCAGAGGATCGATCACTTTGATGGTGAGAGCAACCCCTGTAGCTGGAGCCTGAACAAGATCCAAAGCCATAAAATGATCCTTTCTGTAGAGAAGCCTGCATATGATTTCATTGTTAGAAAATTCATTATAACAAGATACAGTTGTACAATATGGTATGGAAGGAAAACTTTAAATCCAAACCAATTGATACCAATGAGTAAATGATAATCAGGTTTTAAAGCAAGAATCAGATACTTCTGACGGTGATTGAAACAATGTCTTGGTATTTACAGAACCTCCCTCTACCACATTTTTCATATGTGGGATTAGCGACTGCTAGTATTTTCTTGAAATATATACTCTGTTTTCATTATTAAATAAGTGATACCTACGTAAATCAAATGTAGCATGGGTGAAATCCTAGGAAGCCAATTGTACAATAGTTTTACAGTTCTGTCACAGCAAAAATTGCTTATATAAGACTGCCATGCCTTTATATATATATATATATATAAGTTGAATACATATATATATTCAACCTATATATAATTTGCTGTGTCACTGAGCAGAGTTTCCTCAAAGCCACAGTTCAATTCATCTGAAGCTCTCTCTCTTTCCATTATAGCATAGTAGATTAACCACAGAGTGGGACTGGTTCAAAAGCATTTTCAGTCTAATCATCCAAGCCACAAAATCTCCAAAAAAAAAAAAAAATGGTCGATGGTGTTTTAAAGATCAGTGAAAAGATGTGCATAAGGAAGAAAACTAACTAGTCCAAAATCATCCTGAGACAACTCTAGTGACCCAATTGGTTTCAGATAAGTTGGTGAAGACAATGGAAGCATGCAACTTTTCCCATCTGAGGGATTCAACCAATCTGACCATAATCCGCCAACTTCAGGTCCCTCAAACCCCTGGTGCAACAAACCAAGCCCATCAGAGTTTCCAAAAAAGTTTGCTCCCCTACCAGAAGATCCCAGTGGAGCCGGGTAATTAGGTCTCAGACCAGATCTTTTGCTATCCCCTTGGAGATCAATGGGTACTGGTAACTTTGCTTGAGAAACCGGAGTTGGTGAAAGAATGTATGAATTTGGAGATATATTTTGCTGGAAAGAAAATGGATCAGAGGTAGAAAATTGTCTAGCATTGTACAAATGGCCATGATTCCTGGCAGAAAGCTGTCTCGTGACAGGAACATATGGTTTATGTAGCATTTGAGGGCTGTATCCATAACCATGATATGCAACAGATGAAGATTCATTGTGAATGCCTTGTATCTGGAGAAGATAACAGGCACATCTTAGAAGATGTACTTAGGAATGGCAAAGTAACAAAACTTTTAAAGGCAAGGGAAATTACACACATGAGAATCATTTTCCAGGACTTCATGATTAATATATGGAAGATATGTACCCTGTTTACCAGCTGCATTGTCAGAACCTGAATGCCAAACAAGATAAAAAGTAAAGAATATAAGAAAAATGACTGTTGCATGACAAAGCAGCAAAAAGTGGACAAATCCATGCTGCGAGAATATGCCCAAACGCCAAGCAACCATAAACAAATAGTCTTCATAAGCAGGACACAGTTCATATTCATATACTCCTTCCCCACATCAAAATCCTATTCATAGACCGCACTTTTACTAATGAAAAGAACATCATCATTCAAGCAAATAGAAAGCATACTTGGCAGTAAAAAGGACTCTTCTAGTCAGAGGCCCATGCTTGTAAAGTTAAGTTCACTAATTCAAGAAGAAAGAAATGACAAAGAGAAACTCACCCCATAAAACATGGAATTTTCAAAAGTCAATTATGCAAGATCAATATTTTAATAAAGCAGATTCACCTAAAAACCCATGCCAATTATAAAACCTTAACTTCTCTATTTACAGTATTAGCTAATAACATACAATCCAACAGGTAACATTCAACCGAGATATACATTTATGAAGAATTTCACTAAAAAATTCAGGCTTTTTATTGATCACAATACAAATATCAGTTTTGTGAGACATTTTTGTTGAAATTTATAAAACACATATGTTCCCAACTCTTAAAAAAGACAACCTTCCAAAGAAATATAAAAAACTAACTTCCATTGTACAATAATGGTGGCTGAGAGGAATAGGCATTGGATACATATCCTGTCTTCTGATATCCAACAGAACCTAAAGCCAATGATTGATCAACAATATCTCTCTGAGAACCGATTGGAACAACATCCTGCAAATCATCCAAGACATTTCATCAACCGCCGTCAACAATGTTATGATACAAATTCTACAGGAACAACCAGAAAAAAACTTGTAGACAGGAGGACGAGAAGGTACCTGACTATTCAACATGTTTGGATTGATGATTTTTTCTTTAGTATTCAAAATCAAAAAGTTTAAAGCTTCAGCAGAGTCTACAATTCGGGAAATGTGATCAATAAGTCACATAAATAAACTACATCGTACAATCAAATACATCACCTTGAACAGCTAATTAAGTAAGAATCGGTTATATTAAAGGCCAAATTTACCGGTCATCATCCAAGTGAACGCTGTCTCATTAATGTCTAAGAGCATAGGTAAAATAAAAAACAAATGAAAATATCAACACAATTTTCACCGGAAAATAAATGATCTCAACTCAAAAGACAAACATTTCCTGGATCGTCTAAAATCCTTTTAAAAATTACAAAACCAAAGAACCGACGAGGCTTAAAATCCAACACAACACAAACGAAAAAGATTAATTCTGAAAAGGTATAAACAAGGCCTACCAAGCACAGAATCCGTTGCCATACCAGTAGATGACAAGCGATCAGAACTTGGCTGCGCCATTCCCACAGAAACAAATGTAATATATAAATAATTATGTGAGTATGTGTGCAGTGTTTGGGAAATGGTTGGTGAATTAAAGGTTAGATTTTGGTGTGAGAAATTGATTAGAGAATAAAGAAAGAAAGCATTGAAGAAGGAAGCCGGGCTTAGGGTACAGAGTGGATGGATAGAAGTTGGCAGAAGTTTTTCTGTTATGCTGTGTTGGTAGTGGTGATTGAGAGTGAGATAGGTAGTGTTCTGATGGGTACAGAAATATCTAGTCTGTACATTTTAGCATTCGATGCTTCGCCAAATAGTTTGTCGAGTTGGCGAAACCTCACTCGTCCACCTGCTCGCATGCAACACCCTCCCCAGCAATTGCTTTGTATCTCATTTCAGTTTTAGTTTTTCGCTTCTCCCACTACGATCATTCCTATTTTTACCGTACATTTTTCTCTTCCCATATAATATTGGGCCTAAGGCAATTTAAAACCCGATTATAAAACCCACCCGTTTATTGCGTTTGACTTTGACACCAACCCGATTAACGAATTTCCTATAGAGAAAGCGGCAAATTGCCGCTTCATTTGAAACGTCCTCTTCTCTCAATCTTCCTTCTTCGACACTCTTCTCTCTCTCTTTTTTTTCAGCACAAGAAATGAGTTCCGGTTCCTCTCGCTCTGCGAATTCCGGCCAGAAATTAAAGCGAAGCTTCAATTCTATTCAGTCGAACAGCACTAACAATAGCAATACCAGTGTTAATAACAATAAAAAGAATAAAAAAAGTAACCAGAAAACCCTAGGCGTGGCTTGGGGCTCAAATTCTCTCTCCTCTTCTCGCTCTTCTTTTCGCAATTCTCCTTTTTCCGATTTCGGCAGGTACTAAAGTTTTTGCCATTATTTTGACACAATTCACATTTATCATTGTCTGCGTTAAAGGAATTACTTGTTTAGTACAGTTAGTCGCTGCACTGAGTACGAGTACGTTTAACTAGAATTTCTTTGAAAATAAATCGCAACAGAAGCTTGTGAATTTTGATGATTTTTTAATTTGACGGTTTCTATTGAATGATTGGAGAAAAAATTTAGCTTAATTTTTAATTTGAACATGTAATGTTCTTCATTATTGTAAATTTTAATTTTGATTGGTTTTGGTTGTTTGATTATAGTTACATGGTAGAAAAGAACCGGAAACTTCAAAACCAGTTTGATGCAGAAGCTTCGAGTTCTTCATATAGTGCTTCGACGTCTGGTAGGCCTATATTTCAAGGGGTTTCTATCTTTGTTGATGGCTTCACAGTTCCTTCCAGTCAGGTATAATTTCTTTTGAGAATTATTTATTAAGTTCTGTGCTAGGAAAAATAGAAATTTTTTAAGTTTGTTTGAGTACAGGAATTATTGTAGAAGTTCTATTTGATTCTCTTCAATTTTGTGGATGATTAAAGGGAGGTTTGTTGTTTCTTATGATGCTTGTCATTGACGTGAATGATTTTCTGTTAGGAATTGCGAGGCTACATGTTGAAGTATGGTGGAAGATTTGAGAATTACTTTTCCAGGCATCGTGTTACCCATATTATCTGCAGCAATCTTCCAGATAGTAAAATCAAGAATCTGAGGTTCACATTATTGCAACTTGTGATCCAAATTGTAATTTTCTTTTAGATGGATTTTCTTATGCGGGTAATTTTACAGGTCTTTCAGTGGTGGGCTCCCAGTTGTGAAACCAGCGTGGGTTTTGGATTCTGTTGCTGCTAACAAACTTTTGAGTTGTAAGTTCATGAACGTCATTGATTTTTTCTTGATCGTTGTCCTGTGTCCTCATCTGTTGGGCATTTCAATTTTATAAGAGAAGGGTTCAGGATTTCACTACTTTCTTTTTTGGAGGGATCACGTGGACTGTTATTTTTGTCTTTTGTTTTTAAATTGCTTTCAATGCTGTTTTGCCGCTATCAGGGGTTCCTTACCAACTTGACCAACTTGCTAATAATCAACCAAAGTTGTCATACTTCTTTGCTCTGAAGCGCTGCCATTTTTCTGAGGATGCTTCAATCCCTACGTTTTATCAAGCAAAACCTGAAACTGTGGATTCATCTTTGAACAATGGCTCATCAAAGAATGCTGATTTATCTGAACAGGGTGGGTCTGTGCAACATGAATGGCAGATTAGGGTAGAAATTGAAGACCCTGTAGTAGCTGTTATGAATGAAAAAATGACTGAACAGCAAAGTAGCTTTACTGGAAAATCTTGTGAAGTAGACACACTAGAACCAAGTAATGCTGATGCTGAAATTGAAAGCTGTGTAAAAGATGAACTTCAGTCTCGCACCCATGAACCCTCTCCTTCTATTAGCAGTTATTGCGTGGAAAATAGAGATATGAAAGGGTCAATGAGTTCTAAAAAGTCTCATTCAACTCTTGGGGATCCCAATTTTGTTGAAAATTATTTCAAGGTAGTGAAACAAAATATGATTGCATGTGCTTTTAGTATTATATCCTGTTAGTTTCCCTTACATTAATGTGTGTGGTTCATGGCTTTCTTTTATTTATTATAGATGTATTTGATTGATATGTGTTTTGATTAGTTTGCATATCTGTGTCTGTTTAAATATTTACAATGGGAACTTCCCTAATGCTTCTTGTGAGTGGACTGCATTAAATGATAGTGTTGGAGTATTGTACTCAATAGTCTTGTTTGGCGATATCCTAATGAACTATGGATTCTACAGAGTTCAAGGCTACACTTCATAGGAACCTGGAGACATCGTTATCGTAAGCGTTTCCCCAGCTGTAGTGAGTTCAAGTGTACAAGTTCTAGCTTGAAAGTGCCTTCAGATGCTCAGAGGACTGCCATCTTCCATGTTGACATGGTGGTATCCTTATCTCGGGCTTTTTAACATGATTATTTTTAAAAAAATTCTTCCTTCTTTGCCAATTATTGTGGTTGTGAATTTCATTAATTTTAGAGTGATTTGAAACTGGAACATGTTTAAGATACAGAAGACTCTTGCTTGGTCTAGAATGGTTTTGATTTTTTCTCTTTATTTGTATTTACAATAGACCATTGACTCTTACATGATCATACAGGATTGCTTCTTTGTCTCAGTGATCATCAGGAACCATCCTGAATTACAGGATAAGCCTGTAGCTATATGTCATTCAGACAGTGTGAAAGGAACTGCAGAAATTTCATCTGCAAACTATCCTGCTCGAGATTATGGTTGGTTTTGCTCTAAAGTTATCTGTCTGTATCAACTTATGTTTTTGCTAGATGATTTCTTGTCTGTGTACAACTGGTACTTCATTCTTATTTCTCAGGAGTTAAGGCTGGAATGTTTGTTAGAGATGCTAAGGCTCTTTGTCCTCACCTCGTCATTTGCCCATACAACTTTGAAGCTTATGAGGAGGTAATCTGTACATTTTAACATCATATTTTGATCATGAAGGAGGAATCTCTTCTCTTGATAAGTGGGTCTATTGATGATCTTTTGGGAACTATGCAGGTAGCTGATCAGTTCTATAACATCTTGCATAAGCACTGCACTAGAGTTCAGGTCTGCGCATGGACACATATTGTTGAATGTATTTTATTTTCCCCATCGTGTCCTTATCAGTATTGCAACTCTTGCTACAGGCAGTTAGCTGTGATGAGGCATTTCTAGATGTCACATACTTAGAAGTGGAAGATCCAGAAATTTTGGCTTCGAAAATAAGAAAAGAGATTTTTGAAACTACGGGATGCACAGCGAGCACTGGGATAGCTGGAAATATGCTGATGGCTCGCCTTGCCACTAGAACTGCTAAACCAAATGGTCAATGCTACATCCCTCCACAAAGAGTATGTCTAGAGAATGTTGCTGTTTCATTAACTTGTATATAACTATTTAATTTATATGTTTTGGGATTTTAACAGCATTATTTAGTATTGTTTCTTATTTTCCATTTTTCTCCTTGCTTCAGTTGTTGGGCTTATTTCCTGTTGATTATACTTGGGAGCTGTTGGACAATCTGTGTATATCAATATTTTTTTCTATACATTGTTGCATCACCACTTCAAATGGCGTTAATCTTAGGCTTCTGTAGTATCCTTAAATTAGGGATACAGTCGGACAAACTCTTGTTGATGTTATGCACTCTGACAATTTAATTACTTCTGTTCTGCTATGTGATATATTGTACTGTACCATTCTGCAGTCATGTCATAACCACAACCACACCCTTCCTCTTCCCCCCATTTTTGTTACAAGTTATTTGTTAAGTAGTTTTGAATTTGATAGAATCATTGTTAGGTTTTAGCTGTAAGGTTAAACTGGACATTTTGCTTTTTATTCCAAATCTCACAAAGTTGTAGCAATTTCATTGATATATCTATATAGCTACCTAGAATAGTGTCACTGTGTTGACTAATTAGTTGAGTTGTGGCAGGTGGATGATTATCTGCATCATCTTCCAATCAAGGCACTTCCTGGAATAGGTCATGTTTTAGAAGAGAAGTTGAGGAAACAAAATATTCGGACGTGTGGCCAGTTGCGTATGATTTCCAAGGTCATCTTATGATTCATTTGAGACTTAATTTTCTTATTTCATTTTGGATGAGTTTGTCTTGTCTAATTGCGATGTTTGGTTTAATTTCTTCACTTAGACTCATGTCATTCTTTCATGGATTAAAAATGCAGAATTCCATTAAGCTTGAACAGATAAAAAATTAACTAATGATATTCTCTCAAAGCTTTATTTTGCAAGGCATTATTTTTTTATTACATTTGAATCATTGTGATTGCACAAACGAACAGAAGTTCACACTAGTAGTTTTCCTCCATTACTTAGAGAGAACCAAATTATATATAAGTACTTTGAGCCCCCAGCCTTTTGAGATTTATGTGATATGCTTTACAATTTGAATTAATTTATTTGTGGGGAAATTTTGAAGTTAAGGCACTGATGTAAGGAGGTTTCCAGATACTCAATATGTACAATCTTTTGTGTATCTTCAGGATTCTCTTCAAAAGGATTTTGGAGTGAAAACTGGTGAGATGCTGTGGAATTATAGTAGAGGAATAGATAATCGGCAAGTTGGGTTGATCCAGGTTTGGAGAATATATTTACATCTTTATGGCATTGTAGTTTATGCTTGAGGATATATTATTTCTTTATGCCATTGTAGTGTATGCTTGAGACTGTGTAGCACTGTTGCAGATGATCCTTCTGTTTGTGGAGTGATTATTTCTCATTTGTACATGCACACTGCCTAGTGTATATGCTATTTTTCATATCTACATTATTCTGTCAGTTAATAGTCCAACAATGTGAATGGTCTATTGTTATCCTAACACTATGTAGATCATTGTTCCTGTTTGATTTTGTGTTAAATAATATTCAATGCCATCTGAGCCTTGATGACAGATGATGTAATCTGTAGGAAAGCAAATCTATAGGTGCTGAAGTGAATTGGGGAGTGCGGTTTAGGGATTTGAAAGATGTTGGTATTCTGATGCCTTACAGAAGCTTATTCTCATAATCTTCTTCTCTTTTTTAAAGGGTTAAGAATTGACCAATTATTTGTTGCAGAGCCATCATTTTCTTTTAAACCTTTGCAAGGAGGTTTCATTACGCTTGCAAGGATGCGGAGTGCAAGGGCGCAATTTTACCCTTAAGGTATTCTCTCTTTTTTTTTTTTTTTTTTTTTTTTAATATCACATTGTTCTTCATTCATTTAGTGACTGAGCGGGCTTTGTATTGTGATTTAGTGTTTCCTTAGTTCTTTTAGAAGTTACGCATCTTAGTTATTTTAAGGTTGTTGCATAAATCAAATTGTGAAAAATGTTTCTGTTTCTGTGTAAATCCAGATAAAAAAGAGAAAAAAGGATGCCAATGAGCCTGTTAAGTATATGGGCTGTGGAGACTGTGATAACTTTAGTCATTCTATGACGGTAGCTATGTACCAAACATGGTTCAGATTTTTATTTTATTTACATATAATCTTGGAGGTTGAATTATTAATAGCATTAATGTTATCATAGGTTCCAGTTGCTACTGATGATGTGGAAGTGCTTCAAAGGATAACAAAGCAGCTGTTTGGGTCTTTCCATTTTGGTAAGTCAGCCTAGGTCAAATTTAGAATATTTTACTTCCTATTGATGAAATTTTTTTACTTAAGTTACTGGTCGTAAGTAAGAAATTGTGTGAATAAGATTTATGATATCTCCTCCAAAGAAAAAATGAACCTGACATTAGAGACTGCACGTGTGTTGGTATTCTTGCTTGTGTTTGGATAAACAATCTTCTTGTATTTGCTTTTCTGCTTTGGCTGCAAAGTGAGTTAAAAACTTGTTATTCAAGAGTATCTGCATCATCCTTCTATTTTTTATTATACCCCCAGGAAATGATGGATTTGCAGTGGTGTTATTAATGGAGTTGACACTAGCATGTGTTTATTATGTATCTATGATGTTTTATGAAGGTTGTGTTTGGAATTTAAATTCAAAGAATTTAGTATACGGAGTGTATGATTCCTGAGTTTCCTTTACTTTAATTTTTTTTAGAAAGTGTTGTCAACAATGAGACGGAAAGCTGTAGGATCCCTTAAATGTGTTCCAATTTAATTTTCTGTTTCAAATTGCACCCAAAATTTCCTAGCCAACCACAGTGGTGATTGACCAGAGCTTGCCTTTGCATTATGCCACTGGCTGACCTAAGTTTTGACTTGAATTCATATTATTTGGCATGATCCTTTTCATGTCTTAGAGCTTTTGTACTTTTTGTATCCATGAACTGTATAGACTGCCTTTTGTTTCATAATCTTTTTCCTTGGTATTAATGTAACTCTGTGTTTATGGTTTGATTAATATCGCTCAGATGTTAAAGATATCCGGGGTATTGGCTTGCAAGTTTCCAAGCTTGAAAATGCAGACCCTAATAAACAAGGTATCTGTTGTAATTTATTAATTGGGTTCTTACAAGCAGTGCTTTATTTAATATCCTGTATTTTTTATTCAGTTGCTTTAGCCATTAGTTTTTCCCCATTGCAATTATTAGTTTTTAAATTTTTTGAAATCTATTTGATTGTCAAATTGCTTCTTAAATTTGTTGATTTGAAGGGATTGAAAGAAACACTTTGAAATCATGGCTCACATCTACGTCAGCTAGTACAGAAGAAAAATCTAATATCAGTAGGATGTCTGAAGGGGGGACTGATGCGATTCAGCTTTCTGTTCAAATGGACCTTAACCTGTCCACGGGTCAAGATTCTTTGAATCAGGTTTCAGCTGTACCACCTTTATGCGATCTTGATGTGGGAGTGATAGAGAATCTTCCTCCAGAACTGTTTTCAGAGTTAAATGGAATTTATGGTGGGAAATTATTTGATTTAATTACCAAAAACAGAGACAAAAGTGATAATATCAGCAGTTATTCCTCTAATCCTCCACATGAGCTTGAAGGTGATCTTATTATGTGGCTTCTAAATCAATGATGTTTTAGCATTAATTAATTTTTACCATTTCCTCATGGATATGTTGCTTTTATCTATTAAGGTGCTTTGAATGAGGGAAGGGGATCCCTCTTCTCAGAACTGGTCAACCTAAATGAAGAACTAGTAGCAATGAAGGTAACATTTTTTGGTCATTGATATTATCATTTTACTTTGCTTCTTAATGGATAGCTTTCTTTCACAATTTCTTCTCCCTATGTATTTTTACAACTTGATAAGTAATTAAAATGTTGGGCTGGATTCTTCTTCTGTTTTTGTGCATAAGAACAGACTGTCTTTTGTGTTTGTGATGCTCAATATCTTCTCTTTGATATTTTTTCAGAAAGTTAACGGCTGAATCTGGAATAAGTAATTAACCGTATAAAGATTTTTCTTAAATAAAATTCTATTATTAAACTTGCACATTTATGTCGTTTCTGTTTTGACAATTTTCTTCATTCTCTGTCATTTAACAAAAAATTTCTGCCTATGAAGAGATAAAAAAATGTAGCATTTTTCTCTATTGGGAATGTATTGCAATGGAATTCTCTCTCTGGTTGCCACTGTATCTAATATGATGACATTTCTGGCAAAACCAAGATGACTCTGATGTCTGATAGGAAACTTGTTTCTGTTGTGTGATGCATTTATTTCATGGATTGAACAATACGGTACTGGTGCTTTCTGGTAAGAGTATCATGCGTCTGGGGATGGTATGAAATTTTTTGTTACTGTGAATCATTATGAACTACCAATCAAATTTATGAATGTGATTCTTGGATGTGAATTGAGATAGCTTCCAAGAAGCGCTAAATAATCCAAAGGTTACGTTGGAAGAACAGTGTTGAATTATATAACCTGAATCAATTAGTTTGGCTAAGTGTTTAATGTCTGTAATTAGTTTCTTATTACTATTATTTTCTTGCCTTTTCTTATAATTATTATTGTTTTTAGGATAATTGATGATAAACTATTGAAATTATTATACAGACTTCTTTTTATCTTACCTGATCCAAACTTTTTGGAATTCATAAGCTTATCACTGGAGAGAGATTTTGCCACTAAGAATCATGATTGCTTTTGCCAAAGATAGAAAAATAAATCCAGTTGAGTTTGACTACATACATTATAGATTCCTATTTCAGATTTTATAGTTGACAGATGATTTATAATCTTTATTAGGCTCAACAGTGTGCAGTTGAGGAAGTGCCTGCAGTGCCTGTTCTGGGAGCAGGATTGTTCAATGAGGCCATTCCCAATTTGGTTCGTGATAAAATTGACTTAATGCCTTCATCTCTTAGTCAGGTAGATACCTCAGTGTTACAACAGTTGCCTGAACCACTGAGAGCTGATATACTCGAGCTGCTTCCTGCACACAGAAGGCAGGCATTCTCTTCTAATGCTACCTTGGGCCCTTCAGAAAATCTGCAGGAATCAATGGGTACGAAGATTCCTGAGAACCCAGCTGGATCTATTGATGCTGTTGGAAACAATAATCTTTGGGTTGGAAATCCTCCACTTTGGGTTGATAAGTTCAAGGCCAGCAATTTTTTGATATTAAACATGCTGGCTGATATTTACCACAAATACGGATCAACTGGGAATTTATCTCAAATACTTCAACATACTGTATCCGTAACTGTACATCCTCCAGATGCAAGTTCTGATGGCTGGGATGAAGCTATTGATAACTTGTGTGAGCTTCTCAGGCAATATATTAAACTAAATATAGAAGTAGACATTGAAGAGATCTATGTTTGTTTCCGTCTTCTTAGAAGGTAATCATGCAAAGCTAGATGAAAATTTCCCTTTCTCTCTCTCTCTCTCTCTCTCTCTCTCACATATATTTACTACTCCTTCGATGCAATTCTTTAATTTGGATGTGATTGCAGCTGAAATTGGGTACCAATAAACTTTAACCTTTGTGATAGATGAGTAATGAAGATAATAACCTGTTAGACCCACCAAGCCTCTGATGTTTTGGGCACTTTTTGAGTGAGAATGTGATGAAGATTGTCTTAGGGGTCGATGTGCCTATGTTAGACATAAATGTGGAGCCTATGACTTATTTGTCCTTTTTTAAAAAAAAAAAAAATCAATTTAGAGAATATATCTATTTCTTTTTATTGATGCTGTGTATTATATAAGTGATTAGTTTTTTGTTGGTTTTGGTTTGGGCTCTAAGGTACATTCGCACTGACTTAAGAGTACGTGGACCTTATACATTGTCTTTCTCTTTGCTTACTCACATCTCTTCTTTTTCTGTTCTTTCACATTTTTCCCTTTGCTTATCTTCTGATTTTGAATTACCAAGTTTTAAGTTAGTGACTGTTTACATAAGTTTCTGTTGCCAATCCTATGTATATAAGTTTCTATGGCCAATCCTATGTTTACATGAATTTGTCTGTGCTATACACGTTTTGCATGCTGTATAAATTATGGACTCAAGCCTCTGTAATATTAAGTTTGAAGGATGTTGGTGTTTCTCTTGGACTATTTTATTTGTTTGATATCTCAAGACATGTGCAGACATGTGCAGATATATGCTCATCACATATGTAAAAGTTAATGAATTTTTTTTTTTACCAATAAAACTTTATCGGTAGTTCATTTGGCTGGAAACTGCTCCTTCTATTTTTAACAGATGGAGTCAGGTAACTGAGAGAATGACTTTTTGAAGGATGAAAAATATATTTTTAGTGCCTTCACTACTATCCCTATTTTTTACTAAACTAAAAAGTATATTGTTTGGCCGGTGTGCTAATTTGATATATTATTAACCAATTTTCTTTGGATTGTAATCGACATCCCAATGTAATTCTGGATGTTATCAACTGTATTTTTATGGGAAATATGTTATATCCTTTGGGGGTTTTTCATGTTGCTATCTTTTATCTATTTGATGGATGACACTGATTGGAACTTATATTACTTCAGGATTATGGCGAAGTCAGAATTTTTCTTAGAAGTATACAATACTGTCATACCTTACCTTCAGGTTAGTATATCTAATTCCATATTAAAATGTCTTAAGTAGAAGAGCATCAATGTGCTTATGGTAACAAATACTGTTTCTCACTAGGGCATTTTATGTATTGTTACCATTAGCTTCTACTTTCTATTATCTAGACTGCTTGAAATGTGGAGCAAGGACTTGGTAAGACACTTGTTGGGATTTCTCCACAAAGTTTTATTACAATTTGACAATGCCTATGCAGTTCCACTTGTGTGTATGAAGAAGATATATATGAGAGTCCACAACCAATAATCTATGAATGATGCTGATGATTTGGTCAGAATAAAATTTGTTCATTTATGGTACTTTAGACAAAATTGTGCATTAATTTTCTTCTGCTTTCCTAAATGGCATCCAGTTCGATTAGTGCTTCATTCATATTGCATTTCTGTCATTAAATTTTTTAGGAAATCTCACTCAAAACAATTTGTTCTAGGATTATCTTCATTAAATGTTATGGGTTTCTAAGCTGTTTGGAGATTATTGTGCAAACTCCTACTGATTTTCTTGCTCTTAGAAAGTGGATATTATTAGTTTTTTTTTCAGGGGTTTGCATCTGACTTGTTTCTCTTTGAACTAAATCCTATCTTGTAGACTTCTGTTGGTCAAAACTATGGAGGAAGAATGCATGTAACCTCATGAGTAGTTCCTCTAACCATGGAACTTTTACCATATGCACACTGATTTCTCCATCCAAGGTGCGAACCTTTCAATTTATGGGGTAGATTGCTGTCTTGCCTTGCTTCTCATCTGTACCAGTAAGATCAAATTTTAATATGTTCTCTAGTTGATCTAGTATACTGCTTATTTTCACAAGGATCGATATTATGGGCTTACCAATTCTCATGCTTTCAGCTGCAAGTATTTGATTTACATCTCTTCAGATATTTGGTTTGGTTTGAGGTATCTCACAAAATATTAAGTAATCCATCATTTAAATTCTTTTAACTATTTTTCACTGAATTCCTTTTCTTGTCTAAATTGGTGTTATAACAGATACCTTGAAAATGCATTGGTTTCTGGTTCCATTGTTGTCTTCAGACTACTATTAAGATTGATGAAGTCTGGCTGGCTGCATAAGTGATATTTAACTCATTATCATTTTTGAGGTATCAAGTATGCAACATCATGGAGGCTTTCCTTATTATTCTATCCATTTTCTCATCAATATTTTTCTTTTTAATCGACGATTGAACTAAATAAGAGTTGTTTTTAAGTCTCTATAAATATTTTGCTTTTTTGTCTTGTTCTTCCGTCCACTTCCATTGCAGGTTTATGGTTAAAGTGGTTAGACAGTTAACTTACTGGATTTTTCATTCTTTTGTTTTGTCTTCTTACAGAACCATTGGAAAGAGTTCTTTGCTAAGGTACCAGAACACACTTGTTTGTCATACTAGATGTTGGCTTTTTATGCTTGCTCACATGTTGGAGCCACCTTTTCTCTTTTAATGTCTTCAAGGAATCTTATTTGACTCTCCTGCCGGAATCTTTCATTGCACTGGAGATTTAGCATACTGTTATTTGATGGCCTGACTGAAAATTTGGGCTATACTTCCATTATAGACTGGGTGCTATGGAATAATGTTTACACTAATTTTGAATTAGGGAAGTGGTTCAAAGCAGATTGCATAAGGGAGCTCCAGTACTCCAACAATCTCATCTACACTTAACTCATGGGTGCTACTTGAAGATACATCTCAAAATTGCTGGTCTTTGCCAAACTGTATCTGCACTTTATTCGTGTTTTGGAATTATGAGCAGAAGATGCTTTTAATCTCTTTCAAAAAGACAGTTTGGAAAAGATGGGTATCTCATGTAATTTGAAGAAACACTGTAGGGGTATTTGATTCAGACATTTTTGTGCCATTTAGAAGTTTGGTTGTACCATCTTCAGATTTCATTCATAGTACTAAAATTAACAGAATCTTGATTCTGTTAATGTTTTCTCCTTGATCATCAAATTGATGCATGTAAATTAATTTTTTATATTCCATTTTTAATTGAAATGTATGGTTCATTTTGGTATAGAAATTTGAATTACTTAAAATATGTATTTTTATTGAAGATGAATTATGTAATTAAGAAAGGAAAAGAGTATTAATTTAATGACATGATAACTACGGTATTTCATAAGTACACACCCGAGTCTAAAATTTAATTTAATTGATTTTATTCAACGCAATTCTCCAGTTACGAAGTTACAAGTAACAAGATACGGCTGTCACGTGGCAATAATAAGCAATAAAAAATTATAAGGTGAATTTTATCAAATTGGGTAGAACCGTAGAGCCGTCCGTTTCATGTTAGGTAGGTCCCAGTTTATCCAGCTGGACCGTCCACATTCATCCAGGATTTCACCACACGGTGTGCGGTGTTTGCTAACTCAGACACTAGTTACAGTGTATAAAATAAAAAAACTAACCCCGTTACCTTTAATCGCGCCTCACTTTTTAGCGTGTCAGTTCACTGCATGTCTTCATTCGATTATAGACCGTAACACAATTCCTCTCTCTCTCTCTCTCTCTTCCTAAAACAGGGAAGCTCTTGTCGTTGCTCACCACCTCCCCGCCGCTATGTCTCAGGTATCGCCTATTACGATTCTTCAATTTGTTGTTTAATTTTTTTTATTTGCTGCTGTTTCAAGCCCTAGTAGATCTAAACTTTTTGCCATTGTTTTATTGTTTGATTCTGTGGGAATTTAGGGTTTCGTCGAATATTTTCACTATTGCGTTACTGTTGTGTTGATCTTTCAAATGCGTTTTTTCTTTGCAAATTAATTGTTGGCCTATGGTTACGGTGAATTTAATTTTGCCCAATTTTTTGGTCCGGAGAGGTTCTTTCAGCGTGGGTTGGAATTGGGATGTTAATATTGATGTCCAGTTTATGCACTTCCTAGTTAATATTTATTTTTTCTGTTTAGTGTATATAATTTTTAATTGTTTTATATGTTGTTCAGGTTGATAACAGAAATTCCTCGGCTGCCAAGCGGGCTAGAACTGATGGTATGTGATGCTTTGATTCTGTTTGTCCCTAGGTTTTTATCCAATGCCCTGATGTTTGTTTTATTTTTGATGTGTAAAATATCGAATCTTTAGTGGATAGTGCTTTTTCACTTTTTTGTAATTTATTCGGACCATTGCTTTAAGGAAAATATCATTGCTTGAGTGCCATTGTTTTTTATCACCAAACTAAAACACAGGTTTATATGATGAGGTGGATGATTGAAAGTGCATTTGTATTGTTTAACAGAAATGTATGATGCTCCTTTATTGATACATGTTTTTGTGCAAAAATATTTCCATCAATTTAATATATACATAGTAATTTGGTAAGAACTTCTTTTATGCTTACCTAATGGAAAACACGTGGTAAATTGGACAAAACTATGTGTTGCATGCACACTTTTTCCGTTGTTGTATATTTGAACAATCTCATCTCTGTTGAGTTTGGTTGTGCAATTAATTGTGATTATTTTTTCCTGGTGCATTGTAGATTTTGACTTATTGTTTATTTATTTATTTTTTGTTTATAATATTGAGACATCTTCAAATTCCTGGTATCTTTAGGTAGTCGTAGGGAGGACGATTGGACCTGCCCAAGCTGTGGCAATGTCAACTTTTCATTTAGGATGACTTGCAATATGCGTAATTGTACCCAACCCCGACCAGCTGATCATAGCTCGGTAAGTCATGTGCTGTATTAACTGTGAATGATAGATGCTAGATGTTATATTTGCAACTTGCCCATTAGAAGTTGAATTTTTTTGAGATTCATATTTTTTGTAGAGTTACTATGAATTTATTTCATATCGATCATCACTCATTGTCTTGTATAGATTTGTTACTCATTTGCATATACACTTATGTGCATAACTCATTAATTTTCGTGGATTTAGTTTCTGTTCAATCAAAAGTAGGTGAATGCACTTCAGTCTGTGATTGTGATTATTGTTCTGTTCTTAAACATGGTCTTAATTATGTTATGTGATTCACTTGCTTTATGTTGTACATCTTTTATAGTCTGCTATTTAGTTCCTTGATCAAACTTAACTAACAAGATTTTTTGATCAATTTATTGCCTTTGAATTTGTTAACTTACTATTGTATTGATAACTTATGGTCACTTTTTGGTTTTGTTTCTTTTTGACTGCTTCAGGAATAATTTTAATTTTTGAATTTTAATTTTTTCATAATGTTCAATGTCATTTCCCACAGAAATCTGCTGCAAAGCCTATGCAAGCTCCACAGAATTACTCATCTTCAGCTCCTTATGTTGGCTCTGGTGCACCCTCTTCAATGTATCTGGGCATGCCCCCTTATGGTTCTTCCCTTTTCAATGGTTCATCTATTCCTCCTTATGATGTTCCATTTTCTGGGGGCTCAGCTTATCATTACAACTATGGCAGTCGCCTTTCTGCTGGAAGTCCTTATAGACCACTGCATATGTCTGGACCAGCTCCTTATTCTGGTGGATCAATGATGGGAAATGGTGCCCCCTTCTTTCTGTTTCCTTATCATGTTTAAGCAGTCTTTCATGATGATTGCATATGTTTTTACTTGGTATTTTGTACTAACTGCATACTTTATAAAAATCTTCTCTGTAAGTGCACATCATGTGAGAAGCCAGTGCTCATCACAGCAAACTTTTCTAGTTTAGCAGTAATGAAGGTGGTCACTTTCTTCTTTTCTTGCAGGTGGAATGTACGGTATGCCACCACCATTGATGGACCGATATGGCTTGGGTCTGCCAATGGGCCCTGCTGCAATGGTACTGTCTAAAGCTCTCTAGTATGAGTTTATTCTCATTGATATTATTGGATGTTGGGTTCTATGTGTTAACATTATATTTTGATGTCTGAGATCCCTTATGGTGATGTTGTAAGCACTGTCAGTTGGATGATTTGATGGCTTTGGGTTTACACTTCAATGGATGGAGAATATGTTTTTGGTCAATTTTGTTGTCTTGTCCTCTCCTTGTCATTTCCAACTTTTGGTAGAGTTCCTTTTGTCGTTTGTGTGTTAGGATTCATGAGTGTACTTCCTTCTGCAGGGGCCAAGACCAGGGTTTTTTCCAGATGATAAATCTCAGAAAAAAGGTGCAGGTTTGTCATGTCTTTGTCACCTATAAACTACATGTCAATTACGATGCATTGTGGCTACTTGTTTCTGCTTTAACTCTGATCTCTTTCTCTGTATTGCTTCTCTAGATGCTACACGTGATAATGATTGGACTTGCCCAAAATGTGGAAATATAAATTTTTCATTTAGGACAGTTTGTAACATGAGGAAATGCAATACGCCAAAGCCTGGTTCCCAGGTTTGTGCTTCTCTCTTCCTCTTGAATCTCAAATTAATTTTTTTTTTATAGTGTTAGTGCGTGGTATGGTTTTCCTCTTTCCAGTTACTTAATTAGCCTTTTACATCATCTTGTTAGTGTCTGGTACTGCTCATGATTAGGTATTATTTTGAATCATCTCTTAATTTTGATTTCTTACAACATTTTCTTGCAAATGCAGACTGCAAAATCTGATAAAAATTCAAGTAAGTTCTCTATAACTCAGTAAACATGGTTGGCATAATTTTTACGAGTTGATATTAATATGTTTCATGTCCTTCAGAGCAAAAGATGCCCGAGGGCAGCTGGAAGTGTGAGAAATGTAACAACATAAACTATCCATTTAGGACAAAGTGCAATAGACAGAATTGTGGGGCTGACAAACCAGCTGAATCAAAGAAATCCCTTTCACCGACGCCCGAAGAAAATGATCAGGTCTGTTATGTGACACATTTCTTTTGTATTTCTGCTTGCTGCTTGAAATTTTTGTTTTTATCAATGGCATATGTGCACATTACAAACTCAATAAGAATTCAGCTTTATGAACCTTTTGTGGATACGAATTTCAGCAAAGGTTACCTGTCTTCCCCCTCCCCCTCCCCTTCTCTTATCCTCTTCTGTTGATTAGATTTTGCAATGCTCCTCGTTAATTGTCATTTTTTTTTTCACTTCTGCATCCATTGATTTGCAATTGTCTACTGTTCCAGTGAGTACTAGGACATGTTTGAGGGTTGAGAAGGTCCAGGGTTGTCATCCAGAATTGCTCAATATGGGTGTCTGAAAGTCAGTTGTGTCGTCCTCATGTTGCAGCGGTTGTCAAGTTACTCTACCTTCTCATCATTCGTGTCAAGTTGTTGTATTAAATGCGGTGGCATTTGTGGTCTTTATGGATCCTTTGATACGTATGTGTCAGCTAGCTTGGTCTGGCAAAGATTTTACAGGTTGGTTCTGGTTCCTATTAGTTAGGCTTTGTACTTTTTGGAAATCAACTCATCTGTTCTAGTGCTACCCCTAAATTTTAGATATGTTACCAGCTGCTAAAAGATTCTGGTTTGCATGTGGTTTTGAATTGTCTTCATTTGTTGGATTGTTGAGTTCCTGACTTGCCTAACTTACTAGGTCTCATCATGTCTTATAGAAAATGTGGGACTAGAAAATGTGTCTGGTAATTTGTTGGGTTGATTTAGGATGTAAGCCCAGACCATTTTCTTCCCCATGGTTGCCTGTGACATGATAGATACCTCTGAGTATGGCTCATAATGGATCCGGTTTTGTGGCCTTGAAACATGGATGGTTAACATGTGCCCTTAAGGGCGCACATTAAGATTCTAAAATGGAAAATTTTAATTGTAACAATGCACTTCATTTACAAGAAGGCAAATAAACATATTCTCGGAGTATTGATTTCATCAACATTTTGTACTTTCTATTTCTTAACATGTGTAGTTAGTGCACTCTGTGAGATTGTTTTGTAACTTACAACTAGCATTATGAAGGTGAGATTGGCGTAATTGTTTTAATAACATATAACGTTTTTGGAGATTGGAATGTGCCATTTCATTTTCTTCATTTTAGAGTTGAAATAGCGAGGGTTAGACTATTGTAACATAAATATTTGGCACAGATTTGAGACAAATTCATAGCCATTGATTCAATGTAATACAACGGATTTGAGTAAGAAGTTAAGAGTTGGTTAATTTTTAATGCCAAGACTTTTTAAGCCATTGGATTATCATGAATCAATGGTCATGAATCTGTGTCACAAATCTATGTAAAAAATTTGGGTTACTATAGCTTAACCCTACTTCTAATTTCTTAGTTGTCACCTGTATGTTTGCATCCCTTTAATGAAGGGTCATAATTTTGTGGGAATGAGAATTATCTTAGACTGAAGGGACTAGATCCGTAGAAAGCTCACCTGTATGCACCTTGCGTCTGTTCCTTGGTAGTATAAATAAGAATTTGAATGTATGACTATGATTATACTTTTGAAGTGTAATGTATGTCCCAATCATACAACATGTTTAGAAGTCTCTAGTAGTGGTTGGATGGTAGTTGGTCGTTGCTGGTTTGATAGCCTGTCAATTCGTGTTAAATGAGTGGAATCATTTGGTATCTAGATCAGATTTTAAAAAATAAAATAAAATTTATTTTCTTATTATGATAATCAACTCAAGTAAGTAAAGCGTTTTAGACGTATTTTTGGATCATAATTGGTACACTGTTTTTTACATCAAGAAATACTTTCTACAGAGCCTTAGTGGATAAGTGCCGCTACTTTATTTTGGACGTTTTATGGAAGGTGTAAAGTATGCTTGAAGATTTCAGTCCAAAAGGAGTAATAAGAAATATCTGATTGTGAATGTAAATTGAGTTTCGATGCCCCAATACACTCTTAAAATGGAGCATCTTCCAAAAACTACATTTTAACACTAAATTTACGTTTCACTGAAGTGAAGGGATAATCAATGGCATACCTAAAATATCACATATAATTAGATGTGGCCTCATAAGTAAAAATTCCGATCTTTACCCGGCAAGTATTTAACTGCCACTCGCGTGAATTGAGGATTCTGAGCATCTTGATTTGCACATTTCCTGTGCATTTGCAACCGTTAATCTTGTATGTCCATCCCTCTTGTAGAAAATTTAGATGATGTGCATCATTAAGACATTAACACTAAACAGCATAAGCCCTTAAGATGGTTTTGTTTCATTAAGCTACAGTGTTGCTTGTACAATTATCCTATAGATCGGAAAAAAAAACTCGGACAAAAAGCTGTAGCACGGTAATTGCATATTCGCATTTATGGGATGGATCAAATTAATACTTGGTACCAAAAACAATTATTAGAAAAGACTAAAGAGAGATAATTTAGAAAGGAATAAATTGCCACCAAAAAGAAAAAAAAAAATTAGTGAAAGACTTAGTATGGTTAAATTTTGAAAATAGGGTTTTATTTTATCGCTCTCCTAAGATCACTTAGTATTAAAATCATGTCTTTTGTTCTGAAAAATATTAAATGCTCCTGAAAAGAGGTTTCTGATAATTTAAAAGCGGCATGTGATAGACATTTTAGGGTTTTTTTTTTTTTTTTTTTTTTATATATATAGAATTATAACGTTTTTTTTTTTAAATAATGATAGGGATTTTTTTAAATAAAGTAAATGAGTTTGATCCTAATCGATCTCAATGTTAAAAGTAAAATAAACTATTTGAAAATAATTTAAAACTGCTCAACAAGAATAAATAAACCCTTCGAAAATAATTTAAAACTGCTCAACAAGAATGAATAAACCCTTCGAAAATAATTTAAAACCATGCAACAAGAATGATATGAGTAATATGTTCACAGGAACCAAAAGGACAACTGATAGCCTTTTAGGGTGTGTTTAGCTCAGGAAATATTGTATTATTGAGAATGTTATATTAATGAAAAGATAGATTACCTTAAAGATTACAATGAATATTTAAGAAAATGTGTTTGGTTGATTACAATAAATTGGTGGGTATGTTATATTAATATGTTTGGTTGAGAGAAATAAATTTATGGATATGTTATATAATTTACTAAATTGTCTTCCTTTTTAAATATTAATATAATATTATTTTTATTATTATTTTTTGAATAATTTTTTTAACCTACTACGTTTGAGATATTGTTAAAACACCCCAGTAACCAAAAAAGTTTAAAACTTAACAAAAACACCTCCACCCACCCCAAGCCACTACCAGTCGCCTGTCACCACCGTCGAGCGACAGAAGTGGTTGTAACGGTGCACGACCGGTTCAATTTCATCGTTCATGCATCAATATGGCCATTTTTTACCAGATCCATTACGGATCTGGTCGAAAATGGCCAGATCTACGACCAGAACTAGCCATCGTTGAGAGCTAGAGATCTGGCCGTCGTTAACGGTCAAAAGCCATAGATCTGGTCGAAAACGGCCATAATAGTTCTAGCCGTTTCCGGCCATGGTTGTGATGAGAATCCAAGTCCATCATGTTCTTTAAACATGCAAGAGAGTTCATTGAAAATTCAAGGACCCCAAGATGGACAACATTCAGCCCAAGCACTCAAAGAAGCTCACAAGCTTGTCTAAGAGGTGTTAAGGGTCCAAGACATGACACAAACCCTGATATGGCACAAACCCTTTTTTATAGCATAAGTCGTGGAGATCAAGTGGGAAAAAGCTTCATTGGTCCAAGCTCAAGTTGTGGATGCTATTTGGTTCAAATGTTTAAGGAAAATCAAGCAAAATGTGATTAGAGACATAAGTCCTTAATTTAAAGAAAGGTTGTCCATAACATTAAATTGGTATGACTTGCACTTTTGATATTGTATGGTAGAGAATTATCCGTTAATATTTTGTTGTAATATTCATATAATATTTGTTAGGATAATTCCCATGTTTTGCAAAGCCTATTTAAACGCCACTCTTTCATAATATGAAGTTAGACATTGAATATTGCATGAATAGTACTTTGCCTTGGAGAATTGTTTTCTCTTGAGTTCCTTTACCCAAGTTTGGCCAAACTTGGTGGTGGATTGATCTTTCCAACCGGTGAAGTTCCTTTAGGCTTGATTGATCCATTGGTCATCTATCTTGTAAGTTAATCTCACTTGGTTACCATTCATCTCACTTTTCGTGTTGGGTTTTTTTTATTGTGTTCCAAGTTTGTGTTGTGCATTTCAAAGTGGAATGAGTTTGTGTTGATTAAGGCTTGATATAAGGTGTTATAATGGTTGTGTGTGCTTGTAGAGTGTGAGCCGAATTGTGTTATGGTGTTTCAAGTAAAGTCTAGCTTAGGTTGAGTTGAAATTGATTGAAATAGGATGATATATGAATTGAGGTTGCAAGGATTCATATCAAGTTGGCCAACTACCGACGGTGGTGGCTGGCGAGCGACTTTGATCTTGGATGACCTGCAATTTATTTTAAATATAAGAACATTATTGTTAAAAAAACTTAATTAAATAAGGATAAAATTGTAATGACAGGTTAATAAATATTAATTTAAAAATAAGGGCATTGTTGTCCAAAATTTTTATTAATAAGAGACAAAATTATAACAAAAATAAAATTATCAAGTAATCTTAAAATATCTAAATAAATATAAATAATAAATTACCTCATATATTACCGATAGTTAATATTTTTTGTTTTAGAAGATTATCAAGATGTTAAATAACTTAACAATAAAATGTAATAATAAAATAATAAAATATTACATTATCTTAGTAATTGGGAATTACCCCCAACCAAACACGCCCGTAGGCCATTGCATTTTTACTATTATTGGAAGTAGCTGCTTCCCAGACACAAGACATAACTGTTTGATCACCTGATGCTCACACAAAGGCTACGAATCCTCACTCCCTCAATTATAAAAGATCTATGCCCCTATCTTCCCATGGTCAACTGTTAAAATGGATAATACTGCGACGCGGTTCAAAGAGGGAAAAAAAAAACTTAAAAAGATGCTTGATTACATTTGAGTCATAAAACTATAGGTTTAAGGTCTATAACAGCAGCAAAGCNACCATGCAACAGGAATGATACAGGTGATATGTCCACGGGGGAACCAAAAGGACAGTTGATAGCCTTTCAGGGTGAGTTTGTTCTGATAATGTTGTATTATTAAGAATATTGTATTAATGGAAAGGTAGATTACTTTAAAGATTACTGGGAATGTTTAAGAAAATGTGTTTGGTTAGTTAGAATAAATTTGTGTGTATGTTATATTAATATGTTTGGTTGAGAGAAATAAATTGATGGATATGTTATATAATTTATTAAATTACCCTCCTTTTTTAATATTAATATAATTTTTTTTTTTTTTTGAATATTTTTTTTAACCTACTACGTTTGAGATATTGTTAAAACACCCCAGTAACCAAAAAAGTTTAAAACTTAACAAAAACACCCACACTCACCCCAAGCCACTACCAGCTGCTTGTTACCACCGTCGACAGCAATAGAAAGGGTCGTAACAGCGCACGACCAGTCAAATCTGGGCCTTCCATATGGTCATTTTCAACCAGATCCATCATTGGATTTAGCCGGAAATGGCCAGATCTACGACCAGAACTAGCCGTCGTTGATAGCCAAAGATCTGGCCATCGTTATCGGCCAGAAGCCATAGATCTAATCGAAAATGGCCTAAATAATTATGGCCGTTTTTACACACGACGACCATTTCCGACGACTTCCAATGGTGGTGGCTAGTGAGTGACGGTGGTCTTGGATGACCTGCAATTAAATATAAGAGCATTATTGTTTAAAAATTTAATTAAATAGGGATAAAATTGTAATGACAGATTAATATATATTAATTTCAAAATAAGGGCATTATTGTCCAAAATTTTTATTAATAAAGGGTAAAATTATAACAAAAATAAGATTATCAAGTAATCTTAAAATACCTAAGAAAATAGAGATAATTAGATTACCTTATATATCACCAATAGTAAATGTTTTTTGTTTTAGAAAATTATCGAAGTCTTATATTACTTAACAATCAAATGTAATAATCAAATAATAAAACATTATTATCTTTGTAATTGAAAATTACCCCAACCAAACATAGCCTTTGGGCCTTAGGGCATTGCATTTTTACTATTATTGGAAGTAGCTGCTTCCCAAACACAAGACATATGACTGTTTGATCACCTGATGCTCACACAAAGGCTACGAGTAGGGGTGTAAACGAGCTGAGTATCACCCTAAACGAGCCTAGCTCAGTTAAGCATTAGACGAGTTCGAGTCGACCGAGTCAAGAAAATTCGGCTCGTTTATAAAGGAGTCGGCTCGTGACTCAACTTGAGCTCGTTTAATGTGAGCTCGAATTGGCTTGATTATGGTTCGTTTGACCCTTTTTTAATATAACCTGCAGATCTTGTTTTACACAAATCAGATCCAATTTTTGATAAATTTGCATCTAAATTAACATAAATCACATCCAAATCAACATAAACAACGTATTACAAAAAAAAAAAAAAAAAAAAAAAAAAAAACACAAATATCCATCAAAGTACATCAAAACGGCATAGAACTTTGGGGGAGAATGTATTTACATGATTTGATTTTGGGTTAATTGGAGTTATTTGGTTAAGGGTTAATTTGTGATTTCTTAAACCTTTTAATCTTTTACATGTCAAACTACAAACAAACCAAAAACTTGTATTATACGCAAAAAAAACCTAAGTGGCTCGCGAGCCGAATCGAGCCAAGTCGGGATAGACTCAAACTCGACTCGGTACCTTACTCGAGTCAAATTCGAGCCAACTCGACTCGATTATAATCGAGTCGAGTTTGAGTATTTAACGAGCCGACTCGCGAGCGGCTTGACTCGACTGACAGGCCTGGCTACGAGTCCCCGCTCCCTCAATTATTACAGGTCTATGCCCCTATCTTCCCATGGTCAACTGTTAAAATGGATAATACTGCGACGCGCTTCAAAGGAAGAGAAAAAAAACTTAAAAAGATGCTTGATTACATTTGAGTCATAAAACTATAGGTTTAAGGTCTATAACAGCAGCAAAGCGATTATACTAACAGTCTCATCAACCTTTGCTTTTCCCGGCATGTGTCTCAGAGACCAAAATTATTAAATTTAATTGATTCTTAACATTCGTGACATTACATCATATTAATGAAGCAGGACAAAAACTATGTGGTAAAAAAGGCTTCATTGAACTTTTTGGTCTCTGCAATCTGGCAGCCGGAAGCATGTCATTCCTGAGAGTGTTCATTGCTGATAATAACATCCAAACTATTTATATTTCCTGAAAAACAGATAAAACAAGTAGTGAGAGTTTTACACGAAGGTGAAGTTTCATCTAGCATTAGCAAGAAGCTTTTGGCTTAAAGCTTTTGTAGAAGTTATGTCTGTTCATTACTGCCTGTGTCTTTTATATTCAATATCTCCTTGTTATACGGCAATATTTGACTCCAAATTGATGGAAAACCAAACATGAATTTAGGCAAACAGTCAAATCAGAAACTTACTGACCTTGGCATGTAAACTATCAGGCTGAAATTGATATGGTCCTAGCAGTCAATTCGAATAAAACGCATTCTCATATGGTGATCTGAACAGCTGGATCTCCTGGATGTAATTACTTTCATCATCATTGTGTGAACACAAGGTATGCACTTGGGATTCAGTTGACTGTTTTTGAATCCGCCTGTACTCTGATGAAGCATGTGGAGAACCTTGGGCCACTGTATGTGTCACAGTCTGAGGCATGCTGGTATGACTTGTATTTATAGGGTGGTTATGTGGGACCTGTTTTGGCTCACATAAACCCCAAGAACTTGTTGACAGAAGAGAGAGAGCACGATGACAATCTTGTGCCGCACCCAAATTGAAAGATATCATGGATTCTTCTACACCTGCAAAAATTAGTCATCTTATAAGTTCGTGCAACAATCTTGGTCAGAGGAGCATCATACAAGACAAACACACAAGGTCTACCATAAGAATGCCTACTGGTATAAGCACACTGAAACTTCAATAAAAGATACATGTTGCTCGCATGTCTTATCAGATGCTTTGTCTAAACTATAGAACAGATCCAAGTTTGCTTCTAAAATCTAAACCTTTCCAGTGTCTTCAAGAAGAACTAATCAAGAAAAGCTCAGTCTAGTCACAGGAATCCACATCAACCAATTACATGCATATCCCTTTCTTTACTGAAATGCTATAGAGGTGGTATACTTCTTGCACATATTTGTTTCTAATCAATCAAGAACTAGAAATAAAAGGCTTTAAAATCAAATTTGCAGTTACACCTGACCACTTTACTATATGTCAGAGGCAAAAGCTAATGTCAGTATCTTATGCATATAAAAGCTGTAGTGGAACAATAGTGACTTGTTATACGAGTAAGTGGGTTCAGAGTAAGATATTTTTATAGCAGAAATCAAAAAGAAATATTGCATCCATCAGAAAATCGCTAGCTTTAAGCTAAACAAGTGACCCTGTTTCAGCAGCCTAAACATCTACAGATGTCCATAGCAAAGCTTTCAGCAAAGGAAGACAGTTTGCCTGTGAATTTTTTGCAGATAACTAATGGAGCTAAATCATCTGACACATGAATTAGTGCTATACCAACATCTTGCCTAGAAAGACTGACCAGTAAGCTTGCTGTGAGCAACAAAATTTTGTTGCACTTCAAACATATAGTACATAAACACAAAAATTATGTGGGCAATATTGATAGAATTCTTAAATAAGGAGAATGGTATTAAGCTAGATAGCTTGATCAAGAATAAAAAAAATTGAATGCAATAAACATTAAATTTGCTACCTAAAGAAAGAAAAACAAACCTTCGTTGAGAATCTCAACCGTTGTACCCTTGGCCTTGGACAGAAAGAACCCATTAGAATCATGACGATGTGATTGCACTGGATTTGGAACCTGATTGCCTTGTAAATGCAACAGCCCTTCAGTGCCACCAACTTTTGAAGGCTTTAACATGTATCCTTTTGTTTGAATAGACTTGGAGCCAGATATGGTTTCCCATGTCAAATTTTCACTAGGCTTTGGTTGACCAAAAGGGTGTCCACTCCAAACAAAATTCATCTGTTGCTTCCCATCTGCACAGAGAAAGAAAAGATCATATCAAACTTCATGCATAGATATGGTGTAATAGAAATGATGCATGACCAGAAGATGGTTATGAGTTCATGGACCATGGAACTTGTCACAAAAAAAACCTCAAATTAAAAATAGCAAATCTGCAGGAAGTAGCTCTCAAATGACTGTGAGATATTCCTCAACAATTTAATATAAGCATGTAGTTTTAGAAACCTTTGATTTTCATATCATATTAAGAATAATTGAAATAGATATGGAAATAGTTTGACTCTAATTTATCACGTCTTGGCAGACAAAGGTATATCTGAAATTGGTATACAATGTATTATAAAACATATTATGAGAATTTATAGGTGTTCCATGAATCCTGAAAATTGTGCAACTGTATAACATATATTCCTTAAATATAAAATTTCAAGGTCATAGATTTACACCATATATTAATTGCAAACAGCAACAGAGTTAGCATTACATGTAAGACTTATTCTTTCTGACATGTAAGCAAGAGTAAAAATTGATATTTCTACCTTAACGCACTATTTACTAGACTACAAGTATATTAAGTAAAAGAAATTTGTGAAATAGAAATGGAAGCGTTTAGTAAAAAGGAATTACTGGTTCATATATTTCATATAAGTGCCCTGCATTTCAAAGTTTGCCAGAATATAATATAAAGGTATCTAAAGGATAACCAGAGTTTGATTTGATGAGGTAAAGCAGTCAAGAACTCAAATAGCAGGAAAGGGTATGTGAAGTCTGAGTTTGTCAGAATATAATATAAAGGTGTCTACAGGATAACCCAGAGTTTGATTTGATGAGGTAAAGCAGTCAAGAACTCAAATAGCAGGAAAGGGTATGTGAAGTCTCAGTGAATAACCATTACCATAGAGTGAGGAAGATAGCCTTGCTGGATTTAACCTGATAGCTTCTGGCTGTGGCTTGCGGCGCCGAGCATTGTGATCAGACAGACGCCTACGGCAACTCCTCTTCCTTTCATCAAATTCTGAGAGACCATGGAACCTTTGACATCACAAAAAATTTAAATATCATCTCAACTATCAAAATTCCTCATGATGAGCTTGATGAATTTCAATAAATTTTTACCAAAAAAAATGTAATTCAAGAGAGATGGTTTGTAATCTGAATATCCCTCTGGAATAGTAATCAAGACCAATCATCTCATGAATCAAGAGAAATCATTTATTGATTTTATTATCTTCCAACATAAAATCAGAGTTTTACCTGCTACACTGTTGGCAAAACCGTCGTTCAACACCACCTACAATGACCTTTGGGCACTTTGAATGACCTTCACAAACTCTATGTTTGCGATGGTAATCCTTAGCTGATGAGAGATCCAGTCCACAGCCTTCAACTTGGCAACATGCAGCAACATGTGTAGCCTGGGAATTGGACTTGGATCTCTTAGCTGGAGCAACTGATGATGCAGGAGTAACAGAAACAGATGAACCTTTAGTATTGCTCCCTGCACAAACATCTTCAAAGTACATTCGCTTGCCAAGCTTTAGACCAAGCAATGGCTCAACAGAGCCAACTGAAACCTCAAGTGTCGGGGAACCAGTATTTTGTCCAGCCTTGGCAAATTCTTTGTGATTGCCAAAATCTTCGGGATTTTCCTCAAAAGCCTCCAAATCAAATTTGGATGTTTTTGTTTCTCCCATTGATGATGAATTATTGGAAGCTGATTTTGAGCTCTTTGACAAAGAAGCAAGTCCCAAATCAGAGCCAGAACCACCACTACCACCACCCCCTGATGAAAAGAAAGATGCAGAGTCAATTCCCCCATCTCCATCAATTTCCCACTCTGTTTGTTGCAATTTCCTAGGGTTTTCAGCAGCTGTTGCATTGAACATTATTAGGTTTTCCCAATCCCATTGTAAGGGGATCTTTGTATTCCACTCCATTAGTGAACTCATAGAATTGCTTGATACTTCATACGCTCTTCTCCATAAAATGCACTAGCAAGTGGGCCACCGGATACTACAGTTGGAAGAAATTTAGTATGCAATCATGCAAAAAATTAAGAAACTAACAATAAACAAAAGTAGTAACTGATTCTATAAACCAAAGAAACTAACAATAAACAAAAGTAGTAACTGATTCTATATCAATCCAGTAGCACAAAATGCAGCAGATATCTCAAAAAAGCTCAGGTATAACCAGAGCATAACTTACCTTCAACTCTCACATCTGCAAGTCGCTGGCCATGTATTTCCTTTTTATTTCTATGATTTAAACGGTTACTTATACCACAAAAAGGAAAACCTAGTTTCCCTTTTGATAGAAAAATATTGGTTCCGCTTGTCACCTGGCATACAGAGATCTAACTAAAGTATAATTTGTATCCTACTCGATTGAAGATGTCAGTCTCCAACCTTGTAAACCCAATAATTCAAGCAAATTCTGAAGCCCAAGAGACCATTACAGAAATCTCTCTTCCCCTTTTCATTCTAAAGAAAGAAGCCAACTGCCAGAATCCAAACAAACTACTATAAAGAAAGAGTTAAAAAACCACCACCTACCAGTTTAATAACGATGGTAATTCTTACCCAAACAACCGGAGTAAGTGGTGGTACAATTCCTACCCAAAGTCTTCTATCTAAACTGGTACAATTCCTATTTCCTATATAAGGCTTTCCCTTCTCTAAAATTAACTATCGTATTTATTCTGACTGCTGTTTGCACAGCATTAACATATATTTCTTCAATCTCTCTCTTTCCAATAATTGTAATTTGCAACTCTATTGGTTAGAAATGTTCCACGTTTTACCTTCAATAATTCTCACACAGAAGAGGTGAGCAAACCTACAAGTTTATTACTTGAATCCGACCCCACGACAAGACTCATCACACAATGAAGCATTTTTTAAAATAAAAATAGAAAGAAAAAAAAAATTCCTATCAGCCAGGAAATCCACACAAAGCTACTGCAATAAAACCCAGAAAATCTATATTTCTATTCACCGAAATAATCGACGCCAAAAACCTCTTATCAATATTATATAAAAAACATTAAATATCAATCAATCAATAAACACCAGTAATCACAATAAATGCTTCATTAACATCAAATAAATGATTCTACAACTACCTCAGCAAATAGATCAAACCATTCTTTTTATCGCTGGCTTTCAAGAAAAAAAATTCTGCTTCATATGGTAATAGAACCTTGTACCATTCCTAGGGTTTCTGTCCTAGGTTGAATTAACGAAAGTTGGTGCTTGTCACACAATCTCAACAGCAAAACTAAGTCAAGAAGAAAAAGATTTTCCTGGGAACAAAAAAACAAAAAAAAAAAAAAAAAAATTTGATGAGTCGTTTTTGGTTTCACTTTCCCGAGAAAATAATTGGAAAAAGAAAGGAAAAGCATCTTTATTATTATTTTTTTTTTTTTAAAGTCCAGACAGAACCTACACCAACAGTAAGAGTTGACAAGAAGAAAAATAAAAACCTCAATCTGAGCGGCAGAAATGGGAAGTGATTGTGTTTCTCCATATTTAGATATACTTTGAGCTTTCTCATTATTACTTTCTTTTATTAACCACCATACCCACCCATCATTCGAATCAAAAAAATTGAACTCGTAAATCCCAAGAAAACAGCTAGAAGAATCAAAATAGAAAGGAAAGGTTACCTGAAAAAAAAAAACGGAGACTAAGACTGAGAGTGAGAGAGCAGAGAAAGCATGAACAAGAAGAGAGGTTTGATTTAAAATCAAGTCATTTCATTCATTCAAAAAAATCAATCATGGACATGTGGACTGCGGAGAATTTGAGATACCACTTGCTGCTTTCTCACACCTTTCACAGCTCTGCTTTTTTGGACGGTTTTCAAAGCCTCATTAACTTGTCAGTACTCAGTTTTTTTTTTTTTTTTTTTTTTTGTTTATGTCTGAGTCGACCCGCGCGTTCTGTAAAGTTGACTGTTCGTTTTTAGTCAACAATTATTTCACCTTCTCCCACACTTATATTGGTTAATGCAATTCTTATTTGCCCAACCTTTTTTTTAAGAAAAAAAAAAAATGGGCTTTGGAAGTACCGTTCAACTCAACCTTCACATTTATCAATAGTTTCATCGATTTAATTTTCACAGATTATATTAATTTCTTGACAGATTTTAGACATTAAATTGATTGAATAGGTCCAATTTTTTGTTATCGTAAGTCTTCAAATTAATTTATTGCTTACTTTAACTAATTTTTCACGTCTTTCGATGGTCACGTCAAAGGTTTATTTTTATTTTTTTCCTTTTTAAGATACAATGATGATAATAATAACACCTAACATGGGATATGATAGAAGGCATGATATGATATCAATAATAACATCAACATGGGATATGATCAAGGGGAAATAATACAAAGTATCAGGTGTACTTAACGATTTGTTCAGAAAATGGGTGGACAATGAAAAGTGGGTCACTTCCCTTTGAGCATATATTATAAAAGATTATTTTAATTTGATGGGGCAAATTGCAAGCAACTTGTTTATATTAATATGTGAATATTATGTGGTTGGCACGAAATAACATTTAATCAGCTTGAAATTATTAATTCAAACTTTGAAGATCTCATGCTTATGATTAACGCAGGAGACCCCACGTGAGTCTTAAGACCATGGGGATGGCTCTTTAATTATAATTATTCTGCCCTTAACCTAACTATTTCATAATTAATTTGTAATCTTTTTGACTTTGGTCTTCATTTTCTCCACCATTTTTTCTTTAAGAAGTCTTCTCATAATTTTCCCAGAAGGAGACTTGGGAATGGCGTCCACAAACTGCAACACTCTCACTTTCTTGTAATGTGCTACAGTAGAGGCAACGTGATTCATGATATCTTCTTCAGTCTCTTTGGAATTTGCGTTCATCACAACACATGCAGCTGGGATTTCTCCTGCCTCTTCATCAGGCAGCCTGAGTGAAGCAACAAACACATGCAACATAATTATATTAATTCCATATTGTGAAACTGAAAAATATAAATAAAGAAATGAATAAATTAAGAAACATGAAACTTACGGAACCACTGCAGCATCGTCCACAGAAGGATGTGTAAGAAGGATGGCCTCTAGCTCTGCAGGTGCTACCTGTTAACCAAAACTATGATTTTGTAAACGACTTTTATACTAATTTCAAGGCTCCATTTTTCTCTCCTCACTCGACCAAGTCGTTGATAACATGATTTTCTCCAATTATCTCACTAGGGTAAATGGTTAGTGTGAGAATCACAAGCTGAAGAAAGTCACAATGTCTATTATTAAGATTCCACCTCATCAAAGACTAAATCATTGTCTGGGCTCTTGAGGTCATTAAGTGGATAGTAGTTGAGTGAAATCAGCAGTAAAATCATGTGTTTGACTACTGACTAAAGAAATTCTCTGTGCCCCCTACTGTATTTACTCAATAAGAAGCAATAAAAGGAAACAGGATATCATAATTTTTATCTTACTTGAAAGCCTTTGTACTTAATCAACTCTTTGATGCGATCCACAATAAAGATATCTCCATCGTCATCTATGTAGCCAATGTCACCAGTGTGTAGCCAGCCATTCTTGTCGATTGTCCGACTAGTTTCCTCTTCATTGTTATAATAACCTGTAAAGTTATAAGTTTGCCGACATTGATACAGTGTATCAGTCATTTCAAAACTTAAATTTTCACATGGAAATATTTATATCATTGTCTGTTAGAATGGCAGATAATTAATAATCTTGTACGGATATTATTGTACCTTGCATTACACATAGGCTTCTTACGCAAATTTCACCCGGGGTGTTCTTGGGGAGAGATCGACCAGTGTCAGGATCAATGAACTTTACTTCTAAATTTGGGAGAATGAATCCTACTGAATTTTTCTTTGCAATGCCATGACCTTTAACAGGGTCCCCATGAGAGAGTGTGATGCAACTATGTTCAGTCAGTCCATAAGCCTATTGCCCAAAAAAAGATCAAATTAATAAACCACACTAGAATCCCTATTCATTTGAAAGAATATTATATATTATATATGCTCACCTCCTGGACTTGGACGCCAGGGAACTTCTTCTCAAAGGCATTAAGGAGTTCAGGGGCGAGAGGAGCTGCCGCTGTCATAACAGCCCTTAGTTTGAGTTTGGTGAGATCAAACTCCTCCACAATGGGATCCTTAACCAAAGTTAAAATAATGGGTGGAACAATTGGTGCAAATGTGATTTCTTGTGTGATGAGTGCATTCAGAAATGTTCTAAGGTCGAACCTATTCATCATCACAACTTTACCCTTGTTTCTAAGTGTGGCACAACATATTCCAGTGATCCCATATATGTGAAAGAATGGAATTAGGCCTAGTGTGGTAACTTGACCTATTATTTCAGGTCCTACACTAAAAAGTGTGGAGCAAAGATTAGCAACAAGATTTCTATGAGTTAACATTACACCCTTTGACATCCCTGTGGTGCCTGATGAAAAGGGCAGTGCACAGAGATCAGTCTGTTGTACATCTTCTTTGGTAATATAATTGCCTGCACGGTCAGCTGCTTCAAGCAGTTCACTCCAATTAATGGCACTTTCAATTCTTTTTTCATCCACTACAATAACTGGTAGGCCTAGACCTTTTACCTGCTTTTTCAACACAACAACAACACCAACCAAACCAAACCCATTAGGCAATATATTGATAATGCTAACTAAAAGATGCCTAGCTAATGGATAGTAATGTTATTTACCTTTTCATATACTGTGCCGTTTGTAACAATCAACTTCGCATCAGCTGCCTCCACTTGCTTCTCAAGTTCTGAAATATGAGCAGTCGGGTTGGCTCCCGAAAAGACACCACCAGCAGACATGATTCCAAGGGCAACAATCCCATATTCAGCCACATTTGGTAGCACTACAATCACCACTCTTCCCTTTCTCAATCCAAGAGATTTCAATGCCTTTGCAAACCTTTTTATGTCCCTAACAACGTCGCCATAAGTATATGCCTTCCCACTCATGGCCTCCACGAATGCCACCTTGTCAGCGTACAGTTCTGCATCTTGGAGTACAAAATCTGGCAATGTTAAATTATCAGGCACTGCTACACCTGGGTATTTACTACGGAAAATTATTTCCTCATTGTGCTCTGAATGTAACTTGAGTTTCTCCATGGTGTTGAATATGAATCGCAGTGAAAGATCTTAGATTTGGCCTGTGCTTTAAAGAAAGATAAAATTGATTTATATTTTATAATCATATCCTTTGCATGAACTTAAGTGGACTTTACTTCCGAGATTAACAAGTAAAGGTGAGATTTCCATGGCGTCTTGGTTGGTAGAAGTTTGTTAAATCATGTTGCAGTAACAGGCTCAACAGTATTCTTCCTACAATCAGATTACCACCAAATCAAAAGCGAAAATGTTTCAGGCAGTTCTCTTTATGTGAACCAAATAAATATTCTAACCAATCTAGCACATAATAAAATATTATTTCCATGAAATAAATAATAATCACTCTTATCTTAAATTGAATAATTTGATTAGAAGTGGTAATGTCAGTTCATTTGATGTGATTGTTGTGGGGCTTATATTATATGCCATTTGAGTGAGGCCAAGTATAATTTTAATCTTGTCCACAAAAGACTGGAGAGATGTGAAGGGATGTGGGTTTAAAAGGTCTGTGCATAAATAACTGAGATTGTGATGTGCTGTAATGAAAAGAAAGCACATGGTGCAGGTGGTGGCCGTTTAACTGTAGAAACATAATGGCCATACAGGTGTCATGTGAAAATTTAAATCGACATTTAGTTCAGAGCTTCATGACATCGTGGTTGTTTTATACAGATGTTCACTTCAAATAAATAAAAGAAATCGAATTTTTTTATTGATTATTTGGATCTATTTGTGCATCGAATTTGGTTATGTCCACATGAAATATACCAACTAGTAACTACCGACTCCTGTTACCTCATTCGGGCTCGATTAGGGATGTAAACAGTCCGTATCTGGGCCGGGTTGTCCAGGGCCTCCGGGCTCGATCAAGTTCTATTTATAAAAGGATTGGGTTTCCTAATATTTGTATTTAATTAAAAAAAAAATGAAATTTTTAATACCGGATTAGATTTACCCGAAATTTCTGATCCCGACCAGAAATTTAATGAGGTTACGAACATAGATAAGAGTTTATTTCAAATAACAAAACTTAAGATTTTTTTTTTTTTTTAAGAAATGCTAGTCTTACAAAGATAAATACAAAAAAAGATATACAAAGATAAATCCTACCCTTAATTTTCATAATTGTCTTTTTCTTTCTCTTTTTTCCTTCTTTTAAGGGTATGATTTGTCTTTGTATGATCCTCTTTGTAAGGCTAGCATTTTTTTTTTTCTTTTTTATGCATGGTAGAATGAAAAAAAAATTATCTTTAAGAGTTAAATGGTAATATATTGAATAATACTAAAATATTGAAGACTTTGGTGATGATCTACAGTTTTTTTTAAGTGACTTTACTATTGTAAATTATGCATATAGTTTATTTCAAACACTTAATTAAGTCAACTTAATCCCTTAATTATATGAATTGTATCACAAACTTTGTGGTATGATGTTTTACCTTAAGGGGGCATTTGGTTCAAAAAATGTTGTATTACTAGGAATATTATATTAATGGGAGGATAGTTTGGTTCAGAGAATGTTGTATTCATAAGAATATTATATTAATAAGAAGATAGATTACCTTAAAGATAGCTGAAAATGTTATATTAAATATGTTTGGTTAGATTGAAATAAATTGATAGGTATAAATAACTAAGGTTCGTTTGTTTCCATATTTCATATCTTATTCCCAATCCTATCTTCAAAATAACTGTTTGTTTTATTATCCTCAAAATACTATTATATTTTCTTCAACTATATTTTAAATCCCTTAATTTTATTCATTTAACTAAACACCCTAAGAAAAAAAGTTTAAAAATTAACAAAAACACCCCCACCCACCCAAATTTGTCAGATTTCGATCACCACCGTCGGAAGGTGGCCGGAATCTGGTATAATAGCACACTACCGGCTAGATCTTGCCAATAGTGTGTCGATCTATCATTTTCCGGCCATAGCTGGTCATTAGCTGATGGCCAGATCTAGCCGTCGATGGCCAAAAATGGTCGTAGATCTAGCATTTTCCAGTTAGATTCGTGGTGGATCTGGTCGAAAAAGGCCATATCGTCACACGAATGGCCAGATCCTGTCGGTCGTGCACTGTAACGCCAGATTTCGGTGGTGGTGGCCGGAATCTGGCAACTGTGGGTGGGGGTGTTTTTGTCATTTTATAAAAATTTTATATATTGGGGTGTTTAGTAAATTAGCAAACCTAGAGGAGTGTTTTTGTTAATTTTCAAATTCTACCTCGTTATTCTCACTCAACTCTAAAATATATCAAAAATCCTATCCAAAATAATAAAACAAACGAACCCTTAGTATGTTTGGTTGGGAGGAATTAAAAAACTTAGGAAAAACCTTTTACTGAATTGCCCTTCTTTTTTAATATTATTATTAATATTTTGATTATTTTTTAGACCCCTATAACATTTGTGAATCCAGCTAAAACATCTTAGCCACAATAACAGTTTAAAATTTAACAAAATACCCCTAATCACCTAAGACCACAATCGATGGTCGACCCTCGCCACACCAACCCTCACTTCCTTTGGTCCCCGGCCAACGACATTTCGCCTTTACTCGATACTTAATGAGCAAAATGAATACAGAGCACCTTTTTATATAAAGGTAGCTGAAAGTAAAGAAAGAGTCGGTGAAGTCAACTACTTGTAACAAGAAAGGCGAAGTGAGTCAAAATGACGTCACTTAATACAAAATACAAATTAATCCTATGGTACTTAAAAGTAACAAACTGGTCCATAGAGCTCTCCCACGTTGATTTCATCAAAGATTGGTAGTGACTGTTCGTATTCTGTTAGCAACCGTTCAACTTCTTCATCAGATTTCCCTCACTTTTTGGCGACATTGGCACTCCCAAGCTACCTATTTGTACTCCCCAACACCTNTTAAATTTATAAAAAACTAAAATTTAAACTTTTAAGGGTATTTTAGTCTTTTCACTATTAATAAACAGTAATAAACATAAATCACTAACAGAACATGACGGAAAGTACCTATTTGTCATTTTAAAATCTTTTAAGTATCAACTTGTCGTTACGATGAATCTTGGGTATGTGTAAGTCATTCTCCCTTTTTTTATTGATTATTTGGATCTATTTGTGCATCGAATTTCGTTATGTCCACATGAAATATACCAACTGGTAACTACCGACTTCTGTTACCACATTCGGGCTCGATTAGGGATGTAAACAGTCCGTATCCGGGCCGGGCTGTCCAGGGCCTCCAGTCTAGGTCAAGTTCTATTTATAAAAGGATTGGTTTCCTAATATTTGTATTTAATTAAAAAAAATGAAATTTTTAATACCGGGTTAGATTTATTTAATGAGGTTACGAACATAAATAAGACCTTATTTCAAATAAATAAAATTAGGGTTATTTTTTCTTTTTTATGCATGGTAGAATGGAAAAAAAAATTATCTTAAGAATTAAATGGTAATATATTGAATAATACTAAAATATTGAAGACTATGGTGATGATCTACAGTTTTTTTGAAGGTGACTTTACTATTGTAAATTATACATATAGTTTATTTCAAACACTTAATTAAGTAAACTTAATCCTTTAATTATATGAATTGTATCACAAACTTTGTGATATGATGTTTTACCTTAAGGGGGACGTTTGATTCAAAGAATGTTGTATTACTAGGAATATTATATTAATGAGAAAATAGTTTGATTCAGAGAATGTTATATTTTTAAGAATATTATACTAATAGGAAGATAGATTACCTTAAAGATTGTTGAAAATGTTATATTAAATATGTTTGGTTAGATTGAAATTGATTGATAGGTATAAATAACTAGAGTCCGTTTGTTTCCATATTTCATATCTTATTCTTAATCTTATCATCAAAATAACAGTTTGTTTCATTATCCTCAAAATACTATTATATTTTCTTCAACTATTTTTAAATCCCTTAAGTTTATTAATTTAACTAAACACCCTCAGAAAACACTCCCACCCACCCACAGTTGTCAGATTTCAATCACCACCGTCGAAAGGTGACCGGAATTTGGTACAATGGCACACTACCGGTTGGATCTAGTCGGTAGTGTATCGATCTATCATTTTTTGGTCAGATCCATGGTCAGATCTTTGGCTGTAGCTGGTTGTCAATGACGGCCAGATCTAGCCGTCGACGGCCAAAAATGACCATAGATATGACTTTTTTCGATCAAATCCGTGGTGGATCTAACTGAAAAATGCCACATTAGCACACGAACGGCCAGATCGTGCACCGTAACGCCAGATTCCAGCGGTGGTGGCCGGAATCTGGCAATTGTGGGTGCAGGTGTTTTTGTTATTTTACAAAATTTTATATATTGAGGTGTTTAATAAATTAGCAAACCTAGAGGGGTGTGTTTGTTCAAATTCTACCTCGTTATTCTCACCCAACTCTAAAAATATCAAAAATTCTATCCAAAATAATAAAACAAACGAACCCTAATATGTTTGGTTGGGAGGAATAAAAGAACTTAGGAAAAACCTGTTACTGAATTGCCCTTCTTTCTTAATATTATTATTATTAATAATATTTGGATTATTTTTTAGACCCCTACATTTGTGAATTCAGCTAAAACACCATAGCTACAATAAAAGTTTAAAATTTAACAAAATACCCCCAATCACCCAAGACCACAGTCAATCGTCGACCCTCGCCACACCAACCCTCGCTTCCTTTGGTCCCCGACCAACGACATTTCACCTTCACTCGAGCTTGTAAATGAAGGAGAAGTATCGAGAAGGGTTTGGGAGAGAAACAAAAAATTAAGCTGAATATTGTAATTGTATTTACTGACTTAATGAGCAAAATGAATACAGAGTACCTTTTTATATGAAGGTAGCTGAAAGCAAAGAAAGAGTAGGTGAAGTCAACTACCTGTAACAAGAAAATTGAACTGAGTCAAAACGACGTCACTTAATACAAAATACAGAGTAATCCTATGGTACTTAAAAGTAAAAAACTGGTCCACAGAGCTCTCCCACGTTGATTTCATCAAAGATTGGTAGTGACTGTTCGTATTCTGTTAGCAACCGTTCAACTTCTTCATCAGATTTCCCTCACTTTTTGGCGACATTGGCACTCCCAAGCTACCTATTTGTACTCCCCAACACCTCATCTACCTCCGCTCATGTTTGATCATCATTTCGCCACCAATGATGGTGGCCAACGGCCGACCATGGGGATGGGTGATTGGGGTATTAATGTGGGGATGTAATTTGGTAGAAATACAAGGATAATAATGTTTTAAAAATATTGTGTATAAGGTTAAAATAGTCCATGAATATTATTATAAATTGTTTTAAGAACAAGAGGTTTATTGTCTAAATTTTTTATTAATTATGGGTAAAAGTGTAACAAAATTAAGATTAAATTTACCCAATTAAATGTAAAGTATAAAAGGAAAGTGTATAATACTACAAATGGACCCTTCATAAATATCATGCCAACCGGACTATGATATGGTTGGATTACAATTTTTTGGGCTAATTCATCCAGTACAAGATTATGAGGCTGTTAACCCGATCCAGTCCATTGGCATTTGGGTTTGAAACTCAAAGCCCAAAGTTTCTACATAAGATTTTCTCTATTTAATCAAAGTATTAATTGCACATGTTAAATTTAGTTCTTACCATCCAAAAACATAGATCGGGAAAAAGATGAGCAGAGTGATTAAAGAGTTTTGACTGAACTGATGATAGTAGCAGCAAGGAATAGAAAAAGAAAAAGGCAAAAAGATTTAAAAAGCGATCACACGAGTGAAATAATGTACACGTAAAAGAAGGGAATCCATGATTATGATGATCATGATGAGGCATGATGAAGCTTATTACCCACCAAAAACCAAAACTCATTTTCCCTAGACGATTGAAATCATTACCCACCGCATTCCATTCCACCCTCTTGGTTTTGACAAACCTAATCATCATCAACCCTTAACTTTAGCCTCTCTATATCATCATTACTTTTATATATATATATATATATATTTTTTTTTTTTTTGTTTTTGGCTACCCTTTTCAAATTTCCCCCAATTTCATTCCTGCTTTTTGACCACCAATCAATTTTCACCACATCTTTTACCGTTTAGTAAAAATTTATCAAAGATAAAAACTGTGGCTTCTATTTTACTAAATTTTCACTTTCATAATCATGACACCAAAATTATATGTAAAGTTAAACCAAGTTCAAAGTGGTGCGTTGAAATAAACAACTCAAGTGCTGGAACCGTGGGCTGTGGGGGGTCTGTTGGTGAATCATTGGCCGCACACACAACTTTGAGGTTGGGGCTATGAATGACAGTTTACCTGTAACTGTTTATTAGGTAGTAATATATACTTAACACAAACAGCTAGAAGAATGAGACTTTCAATTGCGCGCACCAAACCAATTTTAATAATCACTGTGGCTCGCTACGTGGCAGGCCATTTCATCGGATTTGTGTAAGGTTTGATTGCTACTTTGGCCGTGTGTTTCCAAGCTTATGATGGCTAGGTTGTGTAGGCAGGCAAGTTGCCGCTTTGCACTCATTTCAATCGTGGGTTGGTTGAATACTTGTCTTGGTAAACTAAAAGGAATTTGGTAGTGTTTTAAGTTTGGTCAATTTCAAAAACTGAAGAGAAAGGGATATATATAAAAATAACCATTTCAGTCTCTCTAGAAGCACTTTGCTTCGGAAGTACTTTTTTTTGGTTACTTGTATAAACAGAATTATCAGTAAGATTTTATTTTTACAGATTAAATTTATTAAAAATAGTAATAACTGAATTTTGAAACAGAGGGACAGAAATGAGAATGGAGTGTAAAAGTGGAGAAGTTGGTACTTCCGTAATTCTAACAAAATCACGACAGAATGAAAAAGTTGTGGGACAATCATGCCGTGGGCGTGATTGAAGAACGATAAATGAAGAGCCTTGAGATAGGTAATCGCAGCCGTTGATTCTTGTAAAGTTAATTTGATTCAAAACTCAAAAGGTCATTTGGTCTTCTTGCTTGACCATAATAAACCCGCGTTCACACACGTGGAATTCCTGGTCCGGTAAATATTCCACTTTGTAGAGGGAATCATATTCATATACCCCAGTGCGACCATTTTGCGTTTTTTACTGTAATACCCTTCACTATTAACTCCCAATTTATCTTTTTTATTTCGGAATTTAAATTAACTTATAATAATAATAATAATAAATAATAATTGGTGCAGCTCATTATCATTTTTTGTAATTAGAAAAATAATTTATATTATAATTAGGGGGTAATTAGGGGAAAATAAAATTAGGCGCCCGTAAATATCAGCGGGAATTATTACAAAGACAAAGTAGCGTGCGGGTAAGAAAAATAACAAGAAATGATGGTAATGGGCCAGCTGACGTGGAAAAAGACGAGTGGGTAAAGAAGCCACCCATAAGAGAGAGAGAACACGAAGCGTGAAAGAAAAAAAGAAAGAGAAAGACGAGAGAAAAGAGGGTGGGTTTTTTTTCGGTTTGGAGAGGAGAGGTGAGTCGGGTCAGTTCAGGCCTGAGTCGGGTCTGGTACTGGGGCATGGAAGAGCTGGCCATGCTTAGGCAGCTCATCGGTCAGCTTCAAGAACTTCTCCAACTTTACGGTTCATTTCCTCCTCAAAATAACAACAATCATCTTCCTCATTACCTCTATTTTCACTATTCTCAGCAAGAACAAGACCACCACCACCACCTTAACCGGTTTATTCTCTACCTCTTTTGTTTTCTAGATCTCTCTCAATTCTTCAATTTCCTTACTTTCACGCTTTGTGACTGATTTTTCATTTAATTTTTTTTTTTTTTTTTTTTGAAAAGAAAATCTGCTTATTTTTTGGCTAATTATGTTCGGCAGTTTTAGGTTCGTAAGTTAGGTGAGTGTGTTGGAGAGTTTCAAGTTTTGTTGTTTTCTGGGACGAGACGTATGCCATTCTTGATTAGTGTTAATTAACTGATTTCTGGCAGTTTTTCTCGTTATATTTTACATTTGTTATGGTTTGGTTACTGATTTTCTTTCTATTTATATACTTTTAATTTGAGTAATTTATCTTCCCTTCTGTTGGATTGTGGCACAACTTTAACTTGCCAGTGGTTGCCTATTTTGAATTGGTTAATAGATGTAAAATATTCTTTGCACGTTGTTGTTATGGTAGATTGCAAATGAAATCTCATGTGCCTATTTTCTGTCAGGTTTTTAATGTTTTTGGGTATAAAATTTCAGCTGTAACTGTTAGTACTTAGTTAAGCATGTACACCAAACCTAATCATCCTTGAAACAAAACAGAAAAAGAGAATTAAAGGCAAAAAAGTATAAAAAGAATGGAGGAGAAAATTACATCGTCTGTAAAAATTTAGCTGCTCTATCTCAGGTGTACCATTGAGCTACTGTAATTTGCGTATTTAGAACAAATCCAGTGGGCCCCATTGAGCTTTACTTTAGAACTGGATTATGTGGATATATGTCAAGAGTGCCTCAATTTTGGTCTGCGCCTAAACTTCAATATAGGTTTGATCCATACGTTTTTTTTTTGTGATAAACACTTATTTGTTTTTGGTAGGTCCGTTTTAGTTTTATGGTCAATGAATTAGGACAATTTTGAGTACAAGATTCTTTCTCTGCCTTCTCATCCTTAGTTTGCCAGTATACCTAATTACCTATACGTTTGCATTCATGTTAGTCAAGATATAGAGTATGGTCGGTTTCCCCATTGAAATTTGGCATGTGCCTTTGACTATACATTATGCATACTCTAGCTTTGTCACCATCCAAGACAATATTACGAGGACCACTGTGTTTTTCTATGCACATGGCTTCAAGGTTGGAGATGTCCTTAGAAGTATAAGAATGTAGGCAGTCATGTAAATTTTCAGTGCATGTAAATAATTACACGGGCCATAATGATGGTTTTAAAGAAATGTGAAGGGGTCGGTTGAATACTTTGACCTTGTTTCCGACAAGGATTTGAAATGGTCATTTCTCCTCGGGATTACATACTTGAGATTTAATATCCGCGGCTTTTTTTATTACAAAAGGTTGTATGGTGCAGCAATAGTTACTAGTTCTTAACTCAATGCAAAACATTGAGAATTTTTTGGATTAGAGGAAAATGACGGTTTTGAAATAATATTTATTTCTGACCTTTTTAGTTGCAATTGATTTTACTATGGCTGACTTGAACATTCTCAGGAGAAAATAATTTATTTTCTTATGGGCTATTTTAGGTAATAATTTGTTTTTCAGCATGCAATATAATGTTCGAACTAATTTGTATGACAGAAAACTTTGATTACTATTATGGATAACGTACTTGCTATCTTGTTATAACTGAAAGTTTAGACACTCTTCACTGGTTCTTGTCGGCATTCTTTTTTTGTAACATTGCTATTAATGAAGTGGCCTAAGTTCATGATTATTAGGATTTATTTGATATAGCACGTCTTAGAGTTACAACACTTTGTGTTTGTGCATTTACATATTCAAGTAATTCCAATTTTTGACATTTTGCTGACATCATGGCTAAAGTCAAACATGCAGACTCGTGTGAAAGCAGTGTCTGGGAGTGGTGGTTATTGTCCACCTCCAGAGTTACTTAAAACGGCTTCTTTTGGGCATGATTTATATGAATGGACCAGCACAATTTTCACCAAGTTTCCAGGGGGAGATTTTATGAATGCAAGATTAATCTTGACTTAAGTACAGTATTGAGCTTCCTTCCTGATCGAATTAAGTTTGAGAATATATTTCTTTTAAAGACCATGGTTTTAGTTCTAGACTGGGTCTCTTTAAATCTTTTTATATGATACTTTTGCTTGACCTGGGTGTTTTGGTTAATAGAGAATACCTGCCTATAGTAATTTGCCCTTTTTAAAGTTGGTATCTTTGGAGAATAGTTGAGAGTTGGATGAAATAGGTTAGGAAATAAAGAAAAGGGAGAGAAGGGGGGGTGGTTAGGTTAAATCAGGATCTTATTTGCAGATGACTTGGTGGTATTGCCAGGATGAATTTTATTTAAAATGCTATGTACACCACTTACACTGGCCTTTTTGAAAATCGATGCTGATTTTCTAGCAATGTGTTGTATAAACCAGTTGTGGGTACTTAGTAAACTGGTTGCCTTGCATTAACCAGATTCTTCATGAATCCTATATCTGAAGTGAGCCTGAAACTTCTTAATGTTGCGCGAGAAACACTGTGATTTTTTTATCATTATATTTGATGAATTTACTAGTGAGTTCTCAATACATTTTTCATAATTAATGTGTATGATGGACTGCCCTATAGAAGGCATACCATTTCATAATTTGATTACTAAACATCTTCTGAGTGATGTCTAAATGTGCAGGTTTTGATCAACTCCTGGACTATGGGTTTAGCTTAATTCTCAATTGATATTACAAATAATGCCTGAGCAAATGTTCAGCCTTTTCTAGAATAATTCAAGACTGTGTCTTTATGTTGCAAAATTTGTGGTTTGCTGGGCTAATGGAGGAATTGTGAACGAAGTAGATCTACTGCTAGTGTTAATGAACAAGATGGTGACTTATAGACATAGCAGACTTGATTTAATTATTAAACTGATGATTTGATGGATATCTTTTTAAAGATAATAACATATATGCTTGACCTTTAATCTTCTAAATCTGATGGTTCAGGGTGGTCTCTTTCACAAATTGGCTAAAATTTAAACGTGTTTAATTGATGTGCCTACATGTTTGTCTAGTTGTTTTACTGTACTGTATTTGGTATCTACATGAGAAATAACAAATAAAGACTACTGCACACTACCCTAATTGGGAATAGGGGAATAACCTTTTATTAATTTTTGTACAGATGGTGCTTCCCCAATATCGACGACAGTTCGGAGAATGATTATTATCCTCTTGTGATGGCGGCTGGAAAATCTGGAAGTTGTAAGATGTTGGAAACTTTCAAACCACCACCTACCAAGAAATCTCGAAAGGAGCGGAACCGAGGAAAATTACCTGGAACAACTGATGCATCAGAGGTTATGGAACAAGAAATTTGGAAAGAGTTCCCGGAAGACCTTTTCGAAGCTGTCATTTCAAGACTTCCTATTGATACATTTTTCCGCTTCCGCTCAGTTTGCAAGAAATGGTATTCCTTACTGAACTCTCAAAGTTTCTCTCAGCATTGTGCTGAGGTTCCGCCAGCCCATCCCTGGTTTTACACCATCACTCACGAAAATGTGAATTCTGGAGCCATGTATGATCCTTCCCTGAAGAAATGGCACCATCCCACCATTTCCTCTCTACCCAAAAAGATGATCATTTTGCCAGTTGCTTCGGCAGGGGGCCTAGTGTGTTTTCTTGACATTGGTCATAGGAACTTCTATGTATGCAACCCTCTCAATCAGTCTTTCAAAGAGTTGCCTTCTAGGTCAGTTAAGGTCTGGTCCCGTGTTGCTGTGGGGATGACTCTCAATGGAAATTCCACAAGCTGTGGCTACAAGATCTTATGGGTGGGGTGTGATGGAGAGTATGAAATTTATGACTCCATGAAGAACTCATGGACACGACCGGGAAGCATGCCTTCATATATGAGGCTCCCACTATCACTTAACTTCCGATCACAAGCAGTTTCACTTGATGACACACTTTATTTCATGAGATCAGACCCTGAAGGGATAGTGTCCTACGATATGGTTACTGGTGTATGGAAGCAGTTCATAATCCCAGCCCCGCTTCATTTAAGTGACCACACACTTGCGGAGTGTGGGGGCCGGATTCTGCTTGTGGGTTTGCTTACAAAGAATGCTGCCACATGCGTGTGCATATGGGAGCTGCAGAAGATGACTCTCTTGTGGAAGGAGGTTGACAGAATGCCAAACATATGGTGCTTGGACTTTTATGGGAAGCACGTTAGGATGACATGCCTGGGCAACAGAGGTTTGCTCATGCTGTCATTAAGATCGAGACAAATGAATCGACTAGTTACTTACAATGTGATGAGCAGGGAATGGCAAAAGGTTCCTGGATGTGTGGTGCCCCGTGGCAGAAAGAGGCAGTGGATTGCTTGCGGTACTGCCTTTCATCCTTGCCTCACTTCAACTGCTTAGTTGAGCTTTTGTTTCTGTTTCTGGCGGCAATAGCATGTCAGAGATGAGTTTTTTTTTTTCCATCTGGAATTTGTTTTATGCCTGAATGGCTGCAAGCTTTCAAAGTAATCGGAAACAATGGGATGTATGCTGATAGGACCTTTTTTTTTTTTCCCTGTACAAACTTGTGGATGAATAACTTTAATTTAAGGAGACTTTAAGTTTAAGGATACTTCATGTTTAAAATATTTACAGTCGAGTGAGATTTAAGGAAGAGAAGAGGCTGATGCTTGTGTTTCTATGTATCTTCGGATGCCATAATGCTTTGACTCCTGAGAAGTTTCTGGAAAAGGAGACTCTGGCCAGTAGGTATTTCGGGATCTGACAACTTCAGACTTTAGATAAAAAGGAAGTCACCAAAACCGGAGTAATGTTTGGTAATAACGGATTAGGCGCCATAAAGTAGGATGATTTGATTTAGTATAACGACGAATTATTTTGAGGAAAAGCTTTGGATGATTTATGGTTCAGGTCAGGATAACGATAAAGTTCTTTGATGATTTATGATTCAGGATAACATTAAAGTTTCTGTTGATTTTTGCTTTTTGGTCGAGGATAACGAATTGTAATGAATAAAATTTTAAACGATAATCATCCCAAATTCAATAAAATCTCCAAGTTGAAAAAATATATTTTATTTGATACCTCAACATTGGTCGGGCAAGAAGCACATGGTTATGATGGAAATATGGGTGCGTTTGACTTATTATTTTTGCTCATATTTTCAATCTTATTCTTCAAATAATGTATGACACATTATTCTAAAAATATTATCTTATTTTTTAATTATTTTTAGACCCCATAAGGTTATTAATTTTATTAAATACCCCCTAAAAAAAAGTTTAAAAATTAACAAAAATACACCCATGACCCATACTTGTCAGATTCTGGCAACCACCATTAGTGGTAGCTAGAATTTGCCTCTAGCCTTTTCCAGTCAGATCCACAGTGGATCTGGTCGGAAAAAGGCCAGATTTGACGGTCAACGATGAACAAATCTTGACCGTCATTGACAGCCAAAGATGGCCTTCTTTGGCCTTTTCTGACCGTCGACGGCCACATATGGCCGTAGATCTGGCCTTTTCCGGCTAAATCCGTGGTAGATCTGGCCGAAAAAGGCCATAACGATGTCATGCCGACTAGATCCGGCCGGTATGTGTGATTATGCAATTTTCTAACCAGATTTCGACGATGGTGGCCGAATTCTAGCACTGCAGGTGGTGAGAGTCTTTTTGTCATTTTACATATTTTTATATATTGGAGTATTTATTAAATTAACAAACTTAGGAATTTCTAGAATTGTCCATAAAAAATGATTGCATATCCTAGTGCTGGAATAGATGACATATTTTTAGCCAATAAGTTAAAATCAATTTGTTGCAGCAAATTTTGCAATTACGTTTTCTAATTAAATACAAAAGGAGAGATTGGATACCATCAATAAGTAAAAGAACAATATTACACCATACAAAGTCTTTCTAACCAAGTGCTTGTGTCAAAATATTACTCAAGTCTTTCCTACAAAGTGACCGTCCGAATATGACCTTGTATAAAGTAAAATGATGGGTGAATCTTATATGAACAATGAAAATTAGAATGGATTAAATAACAAAGTTCATTTTATTATTCAAAATTCAGGTACTTCACAAATCACAATACAAGTAAAAACGGGTTCTTCTAAAGGTATCATCTATTTTCCTACACATTAAAAGGATAAATAAATGACATAACACTAACGACCATTCACTGCCATTTCTCAATATAAGTTAATAGTTTATGCCATCCCTCCGCTTGTTGCTGTCCTGATGATCTGGAAAAGAGCTGTTGCAGAGAAATAAACATTAGTACACCATAAAAGTGGGGTTACTGCCAAATTTGGTAACTAACCAAACCCCTAATTGTTTAACAAAATATGAGCAAACTCCAGATTCATTCTAGAAAAAGCAAAGGGAAGATGTGATTTTCTAAATTCTTTTCAGTCCATTTCCACTTGAACTTCCTATCAGAAGCCACAGTTTTAATGCTATATGATGTTCACTTCTTGAGTACTATCAATACCTAGAAAAGTCCAGATGAAAATGTGCAACGTGAATACTCAATATTCTACAAATAAAACCAGCAACGGATGGAAGATACACCATCATTTTGAAAAAAACAAATTAAGTCAAATTACACTAAAACATATCCTTGATGTGTATGATCTATACTATAGAGATTTAAGCCCAAAGCAAAAGCAAATATGGGGAACAGACTTACATGATCCAATGACGACAAATACGAAGAACCCAAGCAGAACAGGGCCAACAGGATAATCCTTGCCCTTTTTAGTGGTGGTTTCGGGCACAGCGCCTCTCTTTGTGATATTCTTCTCAAATTTGTCCACCTTCCTAACAGCAAGACGCTTTGACGTTGTCTACACAAACAGCACATGACACAATTCAATTCCAATGGAAAAAAAAACTACGATTAGATAATATCAGATAATATTAGTCAGTTCCAACCCTATTACCTGCATTGCAAATAAAAATTCCATTCTTAATATTTTTTTTCAAATAAAAATTCCATTCTTAATATTTTTTTTCAAAAAAAAAGAAAAAAGAAAAAAAGATAAAGATTCATGAGTGAAAATTAGATAGCCAAGGTCGCATGCAACTAGTAATACTGTTATCAAATCGAACCTACAACTATAGATCTAACGAAATTGCTGAAAGCAGCCATGTTTCTGCGTTTCAACCCAAAAACATATCATCAAAATTTGGAAATTATGAGTATAATCATCTCGATGTCAGAATAGAAAGAAATAAATAAATTTTTTTTTTTTTTATCTATCAACAAGATGAAAAAAAAAATTACATAAATACAGATCAGATCAACAATCAGAAAGGAAAGAACCAAAACAGATCAACGGCGAACAATTACCATGATTAAAGGGAGATTTGGGAGCCGGAAAAGGTTGTAGTAAGAAAGAAAGCGTGAGAGATTTTGCAGGCGATTCCTTCTCTTAAACCTTCCGGCTACTAAACTTCGATAGATCTTGCGACTCGCTCCCCTTTTCTGTCTCGTGAAATTGCTTTATATATCAAATAGCTCAAGCTAAATAATGATAGTGTCCCCGGGCATCTCGCCCACAGCCTTCATTGTGATTGGCAATACCACGTAATATGGGACACCCGTCATAAAACTATTGGCAGATTCATGCAAATAGAGTTGTAGCAAGTGTCCGACTTTGGGGTCGTATATTTATCCAAATTTGCGTGTACTTTAATTCAACTCTTGGTAGTTTTTATTAATTTTCTTTTTTTAATCTTTCGGTTAATATCAGAATTGGTCATATTGTATTTGGTATACGTAAAACAATATTTAAAAAAAAAAAAAATTGACTTCTTCTCAATTTCAACCTAAATATTTGCAGATTTGCTTTTATTTTATTTTATCTTTTTTTTTTTTTTTGTTGAATAGGGGTGTCTTTTATTTTTGATGACGGGATATTCAAGTCAATTTATGCATATTTTGACTAATTCTTCGAAGTCTTAAAGTTTTTTTTTTTTTTTGTGACCGGAGATATTCGACCAATTTACGTGCATTTCTACTAATCCTTCAAAACCCTAAAGTTAATAACTAGGTAAATCATTTAATGACCACCCCATATCTCTTGAGTAATACACACGATTCCTATCACTCCACCTGGGGTGGTTAATTTGCTATTATCTTTTGTTTCCAGATTTTTTATCTTTTATTTCCGGATTTTTATTATATGATTTTTATCAATTTAGTAAAAGTTGAGATAGATGTCAAAGTTACTTATTTTAAACAAATTAATTATATTTTTAAAAGAAATTAGAATAAGGTAAAATCAATTAACACTCGCAAAATACGGGAAGGAGTGGTTGGCACGAACGTTTATACTTTATACTCAATCCATTCACGCGTTTGGTGTGGTGGGTGGCCACTGGCCGGCACAATTGAATTGACACGGTTCCACATTGCCATGTTCTACACAGTTTCTAAAAGTTACATGATCATACAATTACACCCTGATTGAAAACGTTTTTAAATAACCAAACGTTTCTTAAAGATTGTAATCTAAGACATGACTTTTTGGAGAACAAGAATGTGTCTCATACGGTTTGTACAAAGGAGCTGAAATAATATCAAGCTCTTTTTAAAGGCTCCAACAGACTAGTACAAGTCTGTTAATAAAACCAATTTTGTGTTACGCATAAAATCTGTCAAGTTGAAGTAGATCAGTCAGCTTAATGAAAAAAGTAAACAGGAACATGAAACTCCTGCTTATTAAGGCACACTTTCCCCCGCCTCGCGCCTCCCACCCCCCCCACCCCCCCCAAACAAAACAAATATACAAGTTCATAACAAGATTTGAACATTCATCACCTGTTCTATGTCCAACTCATCTCTCTTTGCAGAAAGCAAACTCAGCTGATTCTGTAACCACAATTGAAAATTGAGAGGGGAAGCCTGAGTGCTGACATAGAACAATCTTTTGAGAGGTTTTAACTAAGATTCAGTAATCAAATTTTGTTGCAGGGCAAGCAAAAGTGGTGCATAAAGTTCACAACATGGGTAACAATGCTACCTTACTATCTTGCTTCTTGCAGGACTTTTACAGTAACGTAATATACTAATTCATAGACATATGATTCGATCATAAACTAAGATGAACTCATGGTCTACAATGTTATAAGAGTATTTGATCTATAATCAGAACTAGCAACATTACAGCTCTACAAACAAGGACGAAGAAGCATGCAATTTGGTAAGAGTCAAATATAAGAAAAAGAAAATTGAACAGATAAAAGCAACGTAGCATGACAGAGAGAGAGTTAGAGCTCACTGGTGAGCAAGCCATGTATTAACACAAGTTCCACCCGACAAAGAGAAGTTCTTCGAAGCATATGGGAGCTCTTGCTTTGGTACAAACAACCCTCACCTGCCAAACAATTGAAAGGAGTTCCCTTTGGCATGAAATACATTGTCGATAGCTTCTGCCTTGTAGCTGCTCAAATTCTTCCACGAAGTTCACCACTAAAATATCTTCAAGTTCATCAGCATGATGTCATGTAAACTTCAGCACATTGTTAAGCAGTTGTGGATGCTCAAAAATGATAATTCAGTTTCCAATATAACCAGTCAATGAATTCTATTCACATCATACCAAATAATCCAGAACTCAACTAACCGTCTGTTCAACAGCTTGCAATCTCCCACTTCTGTCAGTTTCTTCACTATCTTCTATAATTTCTACTTCCAAGTTATCTTTGGAATTAGCATTCTCTACTTCCCTAGCATTTTCCAAATCCTTTACCGTCTCTTCTTTTGTAGCTTTATCAGCACAATCCACAGTATTTACTTCCTTAACTGTTTCCTCCTTCTCCAAAACCTCGTCTTCCTTAACATCAATTATCACCTGAAGAAGGTCCACTGGTGTGGCTGCTGGGTCCAGCTCTCTGCAACCCTTCGGAGCATTTGGAGCCTCTTGACCTGTAAGCAAGTATGAAGGCACATGATGAGAGAACCGAAACATCTCTTCTCTTGGAATCCTCCTGACTTCTCTAGGGTCCAGATGCTGATGAAACACAGTCTTAAAACCAGCAACCTTTACAAGTGGAGTAACGGTCACACCAAGCTCTTCATCATAGTCTTCAAGTACTTCCACCATGTCATACTTGTGTATAACTTCATCGGCTGTCAGCTCATTCCAGTCCGGGGACCAGTTTCTGTAGAGAGCCCAGACATCCCCCTTCCTGGGAAATATACGAATGGCCCCACGCGGACCTTTTGACCACTTGACCTTATGCGAAAAGGAATTGAGTGAGTTACTGATCTCATATCTGCCCACTCTGAAATCTCCACATGTTTTGGAGAAACCAGAAGCCACCCAGTTTAGTGGGCCCAGCTCACTGTTAGTTCTTGAATTAAGCCAACTGATCCGCATCCTAAACGGATTCATAGAAATCACACTGTGAATCATAGCATAGTATCTCGGCATCCCATCGTCACCGTCATAAGCAGCCCATACCTGGTTATCTCCAAATGACCTTTCTGTTCGGTCCTTGTCAAAATCATGGAAATCTGGATCTGGGACATTTATGGACAATGTTTCCACGGTTTCTGCATTTGCATTGGCAAAAGATCTTCTAAGAATTCCATTTTTTTCATCAATTGATTCACGAGACTTGTTTCGGTCATTTGTTTCATTGTTTACCAAAGGTTTTTCTCCTTTCTCAGTTCCATTGCCCTCATCTTTCAATGCAATTTTAGTGGCTGTACCAGATTTCCATTCATTTAACTTTTTGCGAATTTCTGTCTTAGCCTTCTCCATCAACAAATTTTGAATATCAAGCTGGGATACTTCCTTTATATTGTTGGGCCTAGTAATTCCATTAACCCTAACTGTTTGAAAAATACACTGTTTAGATCCAGATAAATTAGCTGCATCAGCTCCTCCATTTCCCATACCCATTTGATTAGCAACATTACTCCCATTGTTGCCAGCACCAAGGTCATCCATGCTTTTTTTTCTCTTTGCAGAAGTGGATTGCCCAGGATGAGCACTGCTAGTCCTTTTAGAGGCATTTTGCTTTCTCCGCAGGGCCTCCTCCCTTTTTGTGGATGCCTGTGCCTCTCCACGTTCTCTCCTCACTTTCTCATATGCCTGTTGAACCACACTAGCAGCCTGAGCAGCAGTTGAAGCACCACCTGTCCCCGAGAATGGACCCCACTGGAAGTTTGTTTGGTTATGAGAATCGGGACTGTTAAATCCCCCTACTCCCACATTTGGGGATGCAGCACTATTCCTTGCTGTATTAACAGAATTTTTACTACCTGCCTGATGATTTGAGCTCTGCCGCTGCTGTGTAAAGTTCCACGGGGTTTTAGAACTGTTTGAAGGAGGTGGAGCTGTTTCTACCGCCAAAAATGGCTCATGGCAATTAGGGCATAAGAGATTATGATTGAGATAAACTCTGAGATACTCATACTGCATCTTGCATCGATGGCACACGGTCCAGAAGGTATTAGGTTTGGACTTATGAGATGAAGCAGGAGTTGAAGAATGACCTGTCCGAGGGGTACTCTTTTGGGCCTTTCTACTAGGTTTTGTAAAATTGCAAAAACCATTTGCCCCGGGTGGTGCTGATGTACTCCCACTGGTAGTTGAAACCTTTTGAAAAACCTTTCCATTCCTCTTACTATCATATGCTACTCTCTTAGCCTTATCAGACAACAAACTCCATGCCTCTGAAATAAGTTTAAATGCCCCATCCGCTCCTACAGACTTATTCTTATCGGGATGAAGCTGGAGAGCCAACTTCCTATATTGTTTTCTCACCGTTTCATCATCAGCTTGTGGATTTACACCAAGTATCCCATACCAATCTGCCTCCCCATTTATTTTGTTCTCTGCAGAAACATATACATCCAGTGTTGCTAACATCTGAGGAATACCCTCAAGCCCAGGATACAAATTATGGGCCTTCATAGCAAATTTCTTTGCTCCTGCAATATCCTTTGCAGTGAACTTCTTCTCAGCAATCTCCTTTGCCCTGGTGGCCTCATCTTTATTGCACTCCATTAACCTTCTGATAATTTGTCACCTATTTTCGTTGCTTCTTGATCTTGATACAAAAAGGCCACCCACAAAAATCAATGACTCCAGTACTTAATTCTACCAATCCTGCGCCTTTTCATATCAAAAACCCTACTTCACAGCAGGCAAATACATAAAAAACAATAATGAGGAAACCGCTTAAAACAAAAACCAAGGAGGAGCAAACAGTGATAATATATACATGTCTCTCAAATTTGAACAAGCTTTAACATAGAAAGACCATAACTCCAATAACAAACAAGTCCAATCAGATGTACAACGGCAAACTTCTTCTAACCACTTACATATATAACTAAACATTCAGATAACTAATTCAGAAAGAAATTATTAAATCTTAAAAGAAATTACAAATAGAACCCCAGTTCCAAGTACCATTTCGTTCAGTGAACCCCATCAAAGACCACTGAGGTGGCGTTTACACAGAAAAAAAGATACATACACAGAAAAATAAATAGAAATCAAAACTATGGATCTGGGTATATCAACTTCCTAGCTTAGCTGAAACAATCACCAGCATAAAACTAACCAATCAAAGATTACAATAAGTATGTCTAAAAGAACCCTATAATCAGTGATCAATTTATAAAGAATCATAAATTGAGCATAACCCAGACTGAGTGAAGAGTAAAATTACCTATATAAAAGGTAGGCTGATTGATGGGAATTTGAATCACAGAGCCACCATGGGCAGACCTCCAACCCCAATTTTTTTTCTTTTTATGCCCCTCTTTTCTTACCCAAATCAAAATGAATCCCCCAAAACTGGACTTTTTGTCAAAACCCCAAAACCTAGACTGCCTTTCTCAATTAACAAATGTCACAAACTATTTAAAATACATATATATATAATTATAAATAAGGTGGTATGGGCTATGTGTCTCGTGGCTATTTCCCTATTTTTGTTAACCCTAACTCAACCACTCTTTTACCCTTGACCATGGTTAAGTATTGAGTTGGATTTGCTCTTTTACTCTTAACCATAGTTAAATATTGGGTTGAGTTTGCAAAAAGAGTAAGAGTCTCAATATTATAATTCGATATACAAATTCTTTATACAAACTAATATTTATAAATAAATATCAAACAAATTCGATTATTACATAATTATCTTGTTATTTAATATTCTTTTTCCATATAATTAATTACTAATATTTTATTTTTTCAAATTCTCATAAAAGATTTTACTTGTATTATTCTATTAGCTCTAATTTTTATTTCAATAATGTTATATCCATAACCTAATCTCATAGTCTGTTTTCACAACTTTTGACATGACAGCTTGTCATTGGTTAGCTTGCAAACTAGATCTTGTCTGCTTGTATGAAAAATCACTGACAAGTTGTCACATCGAAGGTTGTGAGATTATGTTATAAACCTAATATTACTTTTTTTTATTTATTTATTAAAAATAGAAGTAATATACTTCGAAGCTAAAATAGGGTCCACGTGAATAAGAGGTTAGTAGCAATTGAGAGATTTTGGGTTTTTGGCCTCTAAACTAAACCACACACAACTTAACTATAGTTAAGCATGTTACTAACCAAGGTTAGAAAAAAAAGAATGACAATTTCCATTATTACTTGTTTTTAAATAAGTTTTTTCTTATTGTTCTAAAATGATCAGCTAACTCTAATCCATTTTTAAATAATTATCTTGAATTTAGATAGAGCTTTTTATTTTAAGCTTTATCAATCTTAAAATAAAGATAACATTGTTTATCCATATAAAATAAAATAAAATAAAGGTACTTTAGGTAATTGTATGCAGGTCAACTCCAAGGTGGACATCTATTATGTCCACAATTATAATTAGTATTTTAGTATTATAGGATATTCATGATTTGATAATGCAAAGTGATACAACAATATCGGATCAAAATATGTAAATTGCTATTAGAGCCGATTTTGTATCTTGATAATGTGATGTGAAACAACTTTATAAGGATTTTAAGTTTTATCGGCTTTGGATTGTTAAGAGCTGGTATTAGAATAAGCTTTTAGCTCGACGAAGTGATATGGTATGATCACATTAGGATGTGTGGTTCATATTGTGTAGAGTTTGTCATGTTTTATATCACTAGCGAATTGATATTATAGACAATTTGTCATATTTTACATCATAGTGAATAAGAATCTCGTAGCACGTAAGACTCTAAGCCAAGGTTTTAAAATCCGGCTTGGGGTGAAACCTGGTAAAGTGATCGGTTCTTTAGTTGACTGGTTTAACTGGTTTGACTGGTAGGTCAAATTGGTGCTAATGCTAGCATGATAACGTTAGCATAAAAAAATTTCAAATTTTTTGTTGCGGTGCATGTTAGTGTGCGTTACTATTTTAGATGCACGTTAGTGTGCATCGCTGTCGATCTCTTTTTTCGACTGTTTCTTAACCAAAACCACCTCTGTCACCACCACTAGAACCCCCACCCTCTCATCTTCAAAACCATACCCTTTATCCCCTCTCATCACTCGCTGATCGCTAGTCACAGTAATTGCGTCGACTGATTGTCTTTTGCCTATTTCTGGCCGTTTTGAGCGACGATAACCCCAACCACCACCACCCTTAGATCACCAACTACTCCCCTACCAAACCCCCAAAGTTTCCAAGCCATTCCACCCACCAATCGCCGACAATCACAAGCTAGGTTTCGTCGTTTCTTGGCCAAATTATGACGATAAAAACTCAATCTGACACCACCCTTGACTCACCGTGATCCACCCTTCAAAGCCTCCTAACCCCAATTCTTGTTTGCCTTTCGAACGCTGGCCAATAGCCACCTCTTGAGTAACCGAATTTTGGCAAAAAACCAGTTAGACCGGTGTTTCGCTACAGTAATACCGATCCAACCATAGGTCTAACCAAGTTAACTCTTATAATTGTGTTTTTACCCTAATTGGCTCGGTTTAGCTGCCAGTTTTCGATTACAGCAGTTAAACCGGCCAGGTTTTAAAATCTTGCTCTAAACTAGTTGATAAGCTATAAGTAAACACATTTTTGATGAATAACAATCATATAAAACTTATAAAAGTATCTACTCTTCCATACAATGTACCGTAAATTGAATAGATGAATGGATATACAATGTGAAATCAATAAATGCTACGACTGAGAGAGTACTATTACTCAAAAGAAGATACGTAATATGTTACATCTAAATTAATGCTATATTAAATAGGGTACATTAAATGATAAAACTAGTATTAGTTGTTTGTTTTACCTTATGAAAATTAGTTTATAAGCAACAAATGCTTATAAGTTAAATATTTAAAATTTTAAGTAATTACGTGTTTGATTAAAATACTTATAAGTGACTGATAAGTAGTTGACGTGTTTGATAAAATGTGGCTTATAAGTATATTTTATTATAAAATGACTAAAAAAAGTATTACATTAAACAAGGATATACTAAGGAATTTTAAAATTAAACAAGGATAATATGGTAATATACTTGATCAAACTAGCTTATAAGCAGAGTGCTCATAAGCAAAAAAAAAGTACCTCTCCCTCAACTTTTTTTTTTTTTTTTTGTTTATAAGTTCAACTTATAAGTTCAAAAAAGTTATAAACAAACAGATCAGTTTAATTTTAGAGCTTATAAATTAGTTTGACCAGCTTATAAGCTTAAACAAACACCCATATAGCCTTATCAATCATTAGTTTTTACATTATTAGAGTAGGCATTAGTTTGATGTCGCGTAAAACCAACACCGTTGATTAATATCAATCTTAAATTTTACGTACTGATATCGTTGGACAACAACCATAATTTATTGCTAAAATATGAATTTGAAATGCAGGAAACATTTGGATTTTTTGTGAGTATCTGAATAGTATGACTCTCCATTCTCCTGTGAATTAGGTAAAACGTTAATCACATTATTTTCAAAGGTAGGTGCTTAACAATATGATATATGTCAAAGATTTCTGTGGATGTTTCTAGTCCATTGCCGTCCTACAACTGGAAAATTAATTGAAAGATTTGACATGCGAGGGGTTATCTGCAAAGTTGTAAAGTTGGCGATCTCAGAGTGGGCAGCTTTGTAATTTGGCGGATGACACCGGGCCAAGCTTCCAACTGGGGTCAGCCCATGAATTAACAGCCATGCTTGATTTCTCACGTGGGCTTTTGAAAGCTCATTGAAAACTATAGACTTGCGGGTTCTGTGGTGTGAATTTGGATCTGAATAGCTAGACATGGCATTTGCTGAAAAGAAGTTGATGGGTTCTGCTTATATATTGTCTTTATGACATTATTTTATAGTGATTTCAACTGTTATTTGTTTTTTTGAATAATTTAATATAGCAGAAAGAATTTTAAGTGTGAATCATAGATCCTGTGTTGGAGTTTTTCAGTTAGTTTGGAATATTCAATTCTAGCTAACACTAGTGGAGATTCTTTTTTGACATGTATCAGTATTTTGATGAGGGCCCTCTTCTCTTTTGCTGATCAGGAGTTTCTGAGTTAATTTTTTTTAGCATTAAAATGGTTTTTCACATTTTTATAATGGGCAAAGACAATATTATTGAGGTTTCCTAGATCCAGTTTGCTAACAAAATAATCGATTATTTAAGTTTTTTCTGTACTCAGATCTGTGCATGTGCATGTACATGTGATGTTTTTATATATGTTGAATCTTAAGGTCAACCTGCAGAAAGTTTTCTTGGCTTTTATTCAATATATGAATATCTTTCTGGGATGTTTGTTGGGTCTTGACTAACTGGCATTCCAATTATTTAGAGCTTTTAATGTATTTTGGTTGTAACCCTTTGGCCCTTTACTTTGGGACCCAGATTTCCAGCAGTTGAGACTTGTACTTCAAAGAGGAAAAAGGTTCCCAATACATAGAGAAAGTGTTTCTTCCTCAATTCTATCCTTGTTTTATCACTCAAACTAAGTGTCTTTAATTAGTATGCTTCAAAGAGAATTTCGTGGGCTAAACTCATATATTTTCTGCCCATTCATAAATCATAAATATGAGTTATGGAAAGCCTTGACATTAGTGATGTTTCTGTGCTTGTTTTGAAGGCACTTTCAAATGATAATGGAAATTTATCCATATTTTCTCTTTGAAGACATGATGAAATGGGATTTGTGTTGCTGTGCACCAGGAGGAATATCAATTATTGTATTAGTGGGACTGGTTAGGTTTATCTCTTTTCCGAAAAAAACTCCGACTCAACTAAAAGTATAGAGAAACCCCTTTTCCTTTTCAGAGATTGGTGCAAAATATTGCTGTCCAGTAGTTAAACTGTGGTTACATTTTCATTTATGAGTCCAGCTATGAATGATGATTCTGTATNCGTTGATTAATATCAATCTTAAATTTTACGTACTGATATCGTTGGACAACAACCATAATTTACTGCTAAAATATGAATTTGAAATGCAGGAAACATTTGGATTTTTTGTGAGTATCTGAATAGTATGACTCTCCATTCTCCTGTTAATTAGGTAAAACGTTAATCACATTATTTTCAAAGGTAGGTGCTTAACAATATGATATATCTCAAAGATTTCTGTGGATGTTTCTAGTCCATTGCCGTCCTCCAACTGGAAAATTAATTGAAAGATTTGACATGCGAGGGGTTATCTGCAAAGTTGTAAAGTTGGCGATCTCAGAGTGGGCAGCTTTGTAATTTGGCGGATGACACCGGGCCAAGCTTCCAACTGGGGTCAGCCCATGAATTAACAGCCATGCTTGATTTCTCACGTGGGCTTTTGAAAGCTCATTGAAAACTATAGACTTGCGGGTTCTGTGGTGTGAATTTGGATCTGAATAGCTAGACATGGCATTTGCTGAAAAGAAGTT